AGGATGAAAAATCACATGTGTCCTTATAGACATCCCTGTCTCTCCAGGAGAACTTCCTGTGGAAGGAATAATATTATGTCAAAGGAGATGTGCATTTTGAGTGTAAAGCGCTTCCCCCTTCTCATTAATTAATTATTTACTTCACATCTCAATTGCAGCCCTGCCCTCCTCCCCATACCTCTTCCACTACCATAATTCAAGATTTGCCGCTCCTTCTGTCATATTTCTTCTCAACTCTTTTCCCTCCATTTTTTTTTTTTAGGGGTAGAGGAGAACTACCAAGTATTTTCTATGTTATAAAAAGTATTCTCAGGTTGTGTTCATTTCATTTCTTTCTCCCTCTCCCTCTCCCTCTCCCTCTCCCTCTCCCTCTCCCTCTCCTTCTCCCTTTTCTTCTCCCTCTCTCTCATTCTTTCTCTCTCTTTCTTTCTTCCTTTTTCACACTGCAGAGTGATCCTCCTCACTCCTCTCCTTTTTGCTCAACGTATCCTTTCCTCTTGGATACAGAAAATTAAGCATCATCTAAGCATATCTTTTTGTACGGCAAACTATGAAAGATTACACGGCAATTCTCCTACTCTTAAATTCTTACCTCCCACCTATGTTGCATATTACAAATTGAAGCTCTAGTTATTAAATCATTCAATTCCAGAATTGGTTAGCGATACATCTGGCATTTAAAGCTAGGTCTTCTGTCTTTCTGAACCCTGATCTTACTGTATTGGGATTGTATATTCATGTAGCCCCTCATTATCTATAGGGGATCTCCAGTAGCGTGGACATCTGATTTTGGATCATCTGGCTTTGATAGTCAGAAAATATTCATTTCAGAAGTGTGGCTTCCTCCTCCAGCCTGTGATGCAACACAGGGACCATCCAATCAACATCTGTGTATAATTAGTTTGCAAAGTATTTTCTGGGTGGCAACTGCCACTCTAGGTTGATGAGCTTGCTATTCCTGTTAACACCCGAGACAGTCTACTAAAATAAAGCTTTTCTATCCCTCACATAGAAAAGGTTTTCTTTGAGATCCATTTTGGAGACTCCAGTTCATGAACTGTTGAGTTCAGGCTCTGGGCCCTGGGCCTGAGAGTTCATCACAGTAGAAGCACATGGTAGATGAAGCCCCACCCACCGTACTGCTTATACAAGAGGAAGAGGATGATGTTCCACAGCCCCCTTGTAGTACAGACTGTGACTGAGAAGCTTCTAACAGCTCCACCTACTCAAGGTTCTGCCACATCTAAGTATCAGCAAAGGACCAAGCAAGCAGTTGACACATGGGCCTCTGGGCTACACAGCAGGTACAAGATGCAACTGCTTTGGGAGTTGATTCTAAAGTGCAGGAAGAAGGAATCGATGGATACAGTGGTCTGGCACTGACATCAGCAACATGTCTCAGATGACCTTTGGGTGGGCAGTAAGAGTGTGGCTTTCCAGGTAGTGTAGCTTCTGTGTTCTGAGTTAGAGGTGATGGTTGAATTTGGACTTCTTCTTACTTAATTTAGCTCAGTGAATCAAGGATGGACTCAGAAATTCCCAGTGGATAATGCTATGTCTCTCTAGTTTCTAACATTATAGTCTTTGTAGATAGTTGCACAGCTAAGAACAGTAGACCAAGATAAAAAAACATGATACCACTTAAACACCATGTTCTATTTGCTGAAAATAAACTGTCCTAAATAAAAACTACAGATTCTGCTTCTGAAAATTTTTCTTAGTTCCAGAGACAAACTCTTTAGGTAGAAGACTACCTACCCTAGGATGGTCCTGAAGACTAGATTATGACAACATACTCTGTCCCTTGTAAGCTTTTGGAACATGTATGTCAGGGGAGACTTTGTAAGCATGGTCTAAGGTCCTGCCATACACTTACAGAGAAGTAACGAGTTTCTCCTGGTATCTCTGAGTGCTTATATTGAGATCTTAGCTGGAGATTCTTCCCTTTACAGCAGACATTCAACAAGTACTTGTATCACACAATGTTTTGGGAATCAGTGCCAGGAACACACATGAACCATCATGGATTCCCTACCAGTCAATGACAGACAACAGTGAACACAGGTTTCTATGACATAACGCTCTCTAGGCCTTTTCTATAGAGAGAATCTCTTATAGTTATCACCTGTCAACAAAAAGCTTATGTCCAATGAGCTGAGACAGAAAAGGAGGTAGGATACTGGCCAGAAGAGAGGATTCTGGGAAAAAGTGAGAGTATATAAGGGAGATTTAAGGGAACTTGGGGGTAGGGGGTGTAAACCAGCAGGTAGCAGAACTCAGGATAGAATAGAGGTTTGAGCAAGACACTGAGAAAGACACCAAGGAAGACTTTCGCTAAGGAAGAAGCAGGTCAGGACTGAAGGAAAGGTAACTAACCAACTGGTAGACATAGAATAGTTCAAATGGGTTAAATAAGTTATGAGCTAGTCAAGGAATGAGCCAAAGCTTATGGCCTAGGCATTTAATAATAAATAATTAGTCTCAGATTCATCATTCCAGGAGCAGGGAATGGGAAAGGTTTTTCTCTTTACCCTTTTCCTTGTATATAGGAAGTTCCCAAAACATAGGTTCTATGAAGTAATAAAAACAAAATAAATAAAATAAAAATAGATTTTTTTGTATTTTTATTGGATATTTTATTTACATTTAGATGTTATCCTCTTACCTCACCCCCGTCCAGGAATCCTCTATCCCATCGTCTCTCCTCCTGCTTCTATGAGGATGTGCCCCTACCTCCCCCCCACTCCCACCTCCCCACCCTCGAATTTCCCAACACACGGCATCCAGCCTTCATGGGACCAAGGATCTCCTCTCCCACCTATGCCAGACAGGGCCATCCTCCCCTACATATACAACTGGAGCCATGGGTCCCTCCCTAAGTGCTCCCAGGCTGGTGGTTTAGACCCTGGGAGCTCTGGTTGGTTGGTATTGTTGCTCTCCTCATGGGGCCGCAAACCCTTTTAGCTCCTACAGTCTTCACTTTAACTCCTCCATTGGGAAGCCCATGATCAGTTCAATGGCTAGCTGTGAGCATCTGCCTCTGAATATGTCAGGCTCTGGCAGACCCCTAAGGAGACAGCTATATCATGCACTTCCTGGCATCCATATCAGTGTCTACTGGTGACTGTACATGGGATGGATATCCAGGTGGAAGAGTCTCCTGACAGCCCCTCCTTCAGTTTCTGTCCCACACTTTGTCTCCATGAATTTTAAACAGCATTTTTAAAAGCACTGTACTAAAAATTGACATTACTAGAAATGGCTGAATTGTGCTGGGTGCTCTGTTGCTTTGGGGTGTGGCTGACCGAGGATGACCGAGGATGCTAAGTCAGGTCACATTGACCTGAAAGGCTTTATCATTCTTGGAAGTTTCCTGGTACAGAAAACAGCTCTTTATCCTGAGAACCATGGACATCCCAGGGTCACATGTAATTTCTTGCTTTAATGTTTACTTAAGGGCATTAGGAAATGTTTCCTGGTTTTCTTTCCCCTTTCAGACATATCCAAGGCGGTCCTCAACCCTGGTTCTACGGCTGACGCAGACATAAAGAGCATAAGAAGACTTAAATGTGCAGGTGGGACTCCCAAGCATTATGCGACTGCCCGGTGTCCCCGTGTTCCCTGTGATGTTGCTTCCATGTCAACACAGTCATGTTTTATCTGTTTACAAAATAATTATAGTAACCCTAAGGAATTCCTCTTGATATAGTACAGGGAGGCCTTTCCAACTAGTTAAAAGATTTAATCACAAAAAAACTGAAGTTTCATAGAGAAAATTCTGCTTTAGACTCCAAAGTAAAAATCCTAACCTACATTTCTATCCTGCATTTCTACCCTGCTGGCTCTGACACATCAACTTCTGTAACTGCTTGAGGGAATTGCTTCAAACACACACACACAGACACACAGACACACAGACACACAGTCACACACACACACACACTTCAATCCTCCATGTTGCGAGCACTCTCCCCTCTGATATTCTGGAATTATTACTCACTAAAACCTGTATTCCATCCTTGCTGCTCCATACCCAGGCCTGCACCCCTCCTGGACCACAATCCCTGATGGAGCTCTTGAGTCTGATATTTCTGTTTCCCTGGCATGGCAGTACTAAATCCTTCATCTCCCCTGGGTTCCCCTGCAGAAAATCTGAAGTCCCACCTCTGTCTCCCTGCCCAGCCATTGTCTCCCTGCAACTTTATTTGCCAATCAGAACCAGCTGGCAGTAGGAACCCTCAGCATCTTACACTTGGATGTGTGGGTTGCCTGTAAGTTTGCGAGCCCAGTTAACACAAGTAGCATTAGAACCAATCCACAACAGTTCATGGGGGTCTGTGTGTTAGCTCCCACTCACAAGGCAAGTGTGCAAACAGATCAAGCTGTTCGTACAATCATCACCTCTTCATTATTTTTATATAAGAAAGAACCCTCCATTCTAGGAAGTGCTTACAACCCCACTCTAAGGATACAAGACATTGTCTTCCTGAAACCTTGCTAAAATGTTATTTTATAAGACAGTTAACCAGTAAGATAAACGGTGGCTGAGCATAGACCATGCTCATAGCTAAACTGCTGTGGTCACAGCACGTACCTCAGGCCATCAGTGGCCATCCCCCAACTGCATGAAGAATGATTTCTACTCACTACTTAGTAGAGGTCCATGCTCAGACTATAAACTGTTGTTCTACAGAACAAACGAAACAAGGCAGTCAGCCACTCAATATAACAAAAAACAGGAGGATATAGAAATGAGGGTGGGGGGATGTGGAAACAGGAGGATGTGGAAACGGGAGGATGTGTTCATTTGAAGAAAAACACACCAAAAATAAGTAACCGACCGCTATCTCTTTGGACATAATGCTGGTGTGGTTTCTAGAAGGCTGTCCTTCTATTTAGTCTAAAAGAATTCCAGCACAGAGCAAGTGTAATAAGCAGCCACGGGTTTAGGAGCTACGCGGAAATGAGGTTTGTGCTACACACATGAGACAGACTCGGGCTTCACTGTTCTACAGAATTTATTCCAGGTTAAGATATCATGAGAACCAAAGCAGACAGTTCTTAATGTGTTAAATTTGTGAACTTACAATTTTAAGTAAAACTATGAGACTCATGTCACACATATAGAAAACTATAAACGACCATGAAGCATGTAATGGGTGACCTACTGAATACCACAGACCCAGGATAAGGCTGCTGACCTCCCAGAGTACGGGTGGCTGGTGACCGGCATGCAGTAAGCATTCTGATACCTCAGAAATGTTAGGAAAACTGACTGGTAGGTTTTCCGGGTGTTGCTCATTTTCGCCCTTCCCAGAGGCTTACAGACTGAGATGACATTAGTTTTAAAAGGATGTTTTTCAGCCCAGAAAATCTTCAAGGCCAAGACAGGCATGACTGAGGGGACAGGTGACTCCCTAAAGAAGAGCAGGCTTGGAAGCCCAGGGCAATCGGTAAAGGACTATTTTGAATTTGTACATTTTATTCAAAGGTATGAAATGAATCAGATAAGAAGGTCTGAGATGAAGCTGTGTGCGGTACTGCATGACTTATCCCAGCACTTAGAAGCCGAGGCAGAAAGATCACTCTCTGTGAGTTCAAGGCCAGCATGAACTACAGAGAAAGATCCTGTCTCAAGAACAAAACAAAAACATCCAACCAAACAAAGAAAACAAAGAAGAAGGAACAAGAGAGTTTTTCGATGCGTGCAAAGACCCCACTGGGCAACCCGCTCTAGTCACTCCACGGTGTCTACTCCCTAAAGCCGTGTTTTTAATACGTGAGCCTCAATCAAATGAACCCTGATTGATGACAGGGCAGCAGAGACTTGGGGACGAAGGTGACACAGGCCTCATAAGAGGAGAATCATTTTCCCGGTCTTCCCACTGCCATGGATGATATCTTCATGGGCCTGGGCCGCCTTCTCCAGAGGATACTCAGAACCTATCACAGGTTTCACCCAATCTTTTTCCATCCCTTCCTGGAGGATGCCTGCAAATTGCTGAAATTCCTCCTAGATGAAAGGAATTTAAAAAAAAAAAAAAGGTGTGTGTTTGTAGTTATTTGTGTCTTGGCCATGGACCACATGACCAGAAAGGTCCCCTTGCAAATATGAAGACTTGACAGTTTTCCCGGATCCACACTGTGATTATCTGTCATCTGCATATGCCCGGACAGTGTTAGTATAGGAAATACCGTTTTGAAATAGCTATGACTAGTGCTCCCTCTCCATACCGCTGCCTCAGGAACCACCTATCCAGTCAGGTGACCAAGCTTACCATCGACTTCTCAGTCTCATAGTCAATCTGCGGACTAGCCCAATCAGAACCACCCTCTTCCTTACCTTGGTGGTTGAAAAGAGGGAGACTCCAATTATACTTGTCTCTTTGGCCATGGTGTCCCTTGGGTTTATCTCAATGGAACCTCTACAGCCAACAATCTATCATGGAAACAGCAGGTGCACAGTTGGAGGTGGCTATGAACTGGGGTTGGACCACTGGGCAAATTCAAGGTTCGAGGCATCCTACTTACGATGACCCGTCCTCCGCAGGACAGAAGCTTCAGATCATTGCTCAGGTTCTCATTCGCCAGCATCTCAATGATCACATCAACCCCCTTGTTCTTGTCACCACCAACAGACGTCTGCGTGATAAAAGAATGGACTAAAAAACCAACGGTGCATGTTTTAAAATAATCTAATTACAAAGCAACAAATCACATTCTCTGCAGTGCGAACTCAGAAACACTGGATTTGCTACCGTAATCAAGTCAGATTTGTATGGATGTGTGTGTGGTGTGTGTGTGTGTGTGTGTGTTAATATGAGTGGTTATCTGTGGATATCTGTGGTGCATGGGTGGGTAGCTGTGTGAGTTGGGGGCTGTAGGTGTGTATTTGTGGGTGGGTATTGTGTATTTCTGCTTGTGTGCATATTAAGTCATGTTCTAGGTGGTTTATCATTTGCTTGAGATACTAATTTTTTCTGTCTGCACTGTTGGGTGTTGGTTCTCTACATTTTAAACTGGTTCTTGAAGATCCAGCAATGTTATAATTGTTTTATATGAGATTTATATTACATTCTAAGTAATGAGTACTTAAACCAGGCATTGTAGTAGATGTACAACGGATGCAGGGCACTTAGGAATCAGGATGGAAATCCTACACGCACAGCTCTTATGTAAAGGTAAGTCCTGGGTCAGCAGAGGTAAGCCGTGAGTTACAGAAGGAAAGAGTTAAGTTCACCTGCCTACGCTGGTCAAAGAAAGCTCCTCAGAGGAAATGACCTGAAGGATGAAAAGGAATCCCTTAGACCTAATAAGGAAGGAGAAGAAAAATGACACACAAGGGCCTTTGGGGAATGCTTCCTCACACTGTGGCATTGTGGGAGAGGCGGGGGATGTTTCCTCTCACCACAGCACTTCGGGAGAGGAAAATGCAAACTGTTATAGACTGCAGCCCATGCGGAACAGCATGTTAGGTAAAGAATCCCATGTTTGGGTTTTGGTTTGGTTTTATTTCTCAGGTGTTCATTAATTCAGTGTTTTAGGTACTAGAAGCTCAATAACAGACAGGAAAGTTAGAATTCCTCTTTGGACAGAGTTCCATTTCAGTTATTTCTTGATACAAATATTTAAAGGGGCAGATATCTCTGGAAATAGAGAAGACAGAGTGACTCTGAGCTCAGTAACACTCATCAGGGCAGGGAAAACAGAGGCTTAAGTGACAGAAGACTGGGTCTTGAGAGATGCTTGCCAGGGGTGAAAATGGCAGAGTAAAGGGGGTGACTTAGGGCAGCAGGAAGAGGCTGATTTAAAGGGGCATACAGGGGCATACATGATAAACAGGCTCATGGAGAGACAGCTCAGTATAAAGTGCCTGCTCACAGGCTTCTCCAGATCCAGCACCACAGAGGAAGCTGGAATCCCAGAGCTGGGGGCAGAGATGCATAGATCCTGGTCTCGATGGCCAGGCAGTCTCCAGGGAAGGGTGAGCTCCAGGTTCACTGAGAGGTCTTGTCTCAGGGTATAAGGTGGAGAGCGACAAAGGAGGACACAAAGGTGAACCTCTGTCCTCCACACATCCATCCACAGGTGCACAAGTATATACATGCACATATATATACATACATGCACACATACTTGGACACACACTCACACACACAATTTGAAACAGACATAGACAATGATATAAGGGTTTCTGTCAGGGCAATGGCTAGTGACACAGAGATGGAACTCAGGTCACAGAGCCAACAACGGGCATACAGACACACAGACGATGTGTAATTATGTGAAGAGAGAGGTTAATAGTAAAGCCAGTGTGCAGCAAGACAGCCAGCTTCAACAAGATCCAATCAAGATCTCATGCTCCTGAGGAGGAGGGCAGACACAGAGCAGCCTGGACACGAGGTCACTCCACTCACCAGAGACACAGCCTCTGTGAATGTCAGATTACACACCGGCAGAACTGTACCGGGAGAGTGGACAAGGTGTTTCTAGAAGTTAGGCAATAAAGGAATGAGAGGGGAGAGGGGAGTGGAGAGGCCTGGAGGAGAGGCCTGAGAGCAAGAACAAGCAAAGCCAGTGGAGAAGTGAAGGAGTCACCCTCATGGCCTAAAGTCAGATGCTGAAGAAACAAGCAGCAACTTCACCCAGTAACCAGTCTTCTCCAGCTCAGACATGCCTGAGAATGGCATCAGGAGTGAGCACTGGGTGCCAGCTTCCCTGTGCATGGCACAGATCAGAGCCCTGACTGGTGTTTTTTCAGCAAGGTGGTATGGTAGAAACTCATCCATCCACACATTCTTCCTCCTTGGATAATGACCTCTATAAACACTCCGTGCCTGTGAAATTCTCATTGTCCTATCTCCAGAAGGTACATTTGAGGATGAGCAGGGGAGTGAGTGTTGATTTAATTATCAGCAATATATCAATAGGGACTTCAGGATTGAGCTGAGCGTTGGATAGAAGTCAGTGGCTGAGCACTTGACAAAACAGATAAGATCCTGTGTGAACTGTATGACATGCAACATTAACTGAATGCTTTCACTGTGGTAGGTGGGATAGTGATAGTCCCTCCCCAAGGACCCCATTAGCAAGCAGCATCTTTCCCGGATAGGCACATCCGGTTTCTGGGAACCTCGGCTACAGTGGGGATTTCACATCCTTGACAGCTGCACTATGAGCATCTTGTAGCTGCAAGCTTTACTCACAGTGTGATCTTTCAACTGACTTTTGAAGGGCTTCATCTCATTTAATACGCAAGTGCATTACAAGCATGGCAGCAAAGTCTGGAGAAATAGATGCCTGTCACTTTAAATAAATTAAAACATGTATAGGGATGAGAGTGCATATAGATTTGAAGACAGAAACAATGTTATTTATTAAGCAAAATCATACTAATTCATTAAGAGGGTAGTTATTAAAATGACTTATTTTTAAAGCCAAGTGAGTCTCCCAGAAGCAATCAATGTCTGACCTTCTTAAACTGAAGAAAAGTTTACCTTGATTTTATCAATATAGTTGGCTTCTTTGTGATTAAACACTTCGTGGGCTCCGTTTTGCAGAACAAGCTTTTTTCCTTCCTCAGAACCAGCTGTGCCCAAAACCTTTAAGCCATGGGCTCTGGCAATCTGGCATGTAGCTAATCCAACCTGAAGAACAGAACAGAACCCTGACATCACGGATTCTCCACGGTCCCTGGAAGCCTCCTGTGCCTACAGGGAACTGCAGATCTCGCTAGTGCGGTGGTTCTCAACCTGTGGGTCATGGTCCCTTTGGAGATGAGAAAAACCCTTGTACAAGAGCCACCTAGGACCATCAAGAAACATATACATTTACATTACAACTCATAACAGTGGCAAAACTACAATTATAAAGTAACAGTGAAAATGATGTTACAGTTGGGGGTTATCACAGCATGAGGAACTGCATTAAAGGGTCGCTGTGTTAGGAATGTTGAGGACAGCTGGTCTAGTGTGGAACCATTCCTGAAGGAAAGAGGCATTTCCCCAGTGCTGTGCACAGCATACTTCACAGTGCCGGCAGAGGTCTCTGTCACTGCCTGTGTTCTGCTGATGAGGAACTGTAAGCTCTGAGATACAGCAGCCTCGAGCGGAGCAGGACTAAACCAGACTGCAGCCCATAACCATTAACCACTGCAGTAGAACACTTGCCAATACAAGCTGTGCGCAGGACATACAGTCTTTAAAGATTGCCTTCACGCTCCTTCCTGGCTTCATTTAATCAATTAAGTAACACATTCTTTATAATAAGCATAAGGTCTCTATTGTGTAAATTAGAAATATAGGTTCTGCCCATGGACTCAATGTAAAAAAAAATACATTCTAAAGAGAAAAGATGGTAATAAATATGGGTTAACAAGTGAGTGAGGTCAACAGAAAGTACTGGGGCAAAATAAGAAAGCCACCCTGGGTTAGAGATGTGGAGAGGGGCTGTCTAGGCCATCAGGAAAGGTGACTTGGATGAAATGAGGAGGGGTGGGATCGAGGTGACCCCTGTCCTGAGTGTGCTGCTGGTAAAGAACAGGGATGGCTAAATGAGTAGAGTGGGAACATGCTAGGGGTGTTCAAAAGGCAGAAAGAGGGACGGTGTGGCTCAGGGACCAAGCTTATGACCCGATGGAGACTGACGGCCAAGGTTCAAGGCAACGGAAAGGCCCTGGACCACACTGAGAGCCATGGCAGTCTGGAGGGCATAAGCATTCGAGGAGTGGCAGCCGCTTTCTGGAACTTGGCCGCATACTGACAGGCAAAGACCCCACTAGACACTGACAAACACACAGCCAGGAAGCCAGGGATAGTGTGAAACGACCCTGCGGGTGACTGCTGGCCCAGAGCAGCATGGAGCTACTGACTGCGACCGTTTACCCTCCTTATTCATAGGAAACAAAACCCTTCCCAACAGTGATTTGTATTAAGGTTTTTATATCCCAAATTTTATTCAGAGTCAAACTTAGAAAAGCACTTACTGCTTGAAAAGAAAATAAATAAATACTCAGTCACTTCTTTTTCTTTTGAGAGACTCCTTATGTAGCACAGGCTGGCCTGAATGCATGGTGATCTTCTGCCTTAGCCCCTGCAAATGCTTGGATTCCAACCATGTTATTTCCTGTTACAGACCTGGACTTCAAACGCAGACCAGGATTTCTTCAACGCTTTCTACTCGAGACCACTGTTTGCTTGGATTTTGTATGACATTAGGTATTATGGGCACATGAAGCATACATACGAACCAGCGATCTCAGAGTCTGACCCACTATTCTGACTTTATGAGCATCAAGGGTAATGGCACTTCATATAAATAGGTAATACTTATTAAATTATATAGATATTAAAGTGGCGGACATGTTTAGGCCTGCTTCAGGAAATTGCTGAAAATTCTATCCTACTCCTTAGCCAAAATTTTGCATATTATTTTTCAATGAGATTCAAGGTAGCAATTCACTAGCAGCTTTTAAAATCAAGATGTGTGTGTGTGTGTGTGTGTGTGTGTGTGTGTGTGTGTGTATGCTGGCGTATGTGCCCAGTCCACATGTAGAGGCTAGAGGTCAACTCTGAGTGTGCTCCCTCCCATATCAGACCATCGTATTAAAGCCGAACATTCTAACCCAACACAATTCATGCAGAGCATTAACCGATGCACACTGACAGGATTGGTAGGCCAGGCTGCTTTCCACCATGCCGGAAGTCAGCAACCATCTGGCAGAGGCAGAAAACCAAGTCCTGCAAATTGTCCTCTGATCAACACAAGCTTGCACAGACACACAAATGTGAAAAGCTCAATTTGAAAAGTAAAGAAGCTATGATCTGGAAGGTGACCAGAATTGGGGGAGACAGGAAAAAAATAATTATAATGGAAACAGAGAAACTCGCTGGAACATGAGCAGCACTGAGGACTGAAGGTCCACACAGTGGATGAGGCCCTGCAGGCTTTTGATAATCTAACCCGAGTTAGTGCGCAGGACCCTCTCTAATGAAGGACGCAGCCGGTCCATCAAGAGGAACACTGTACCATGGGGTCACTGCAATTGACTCCAATGACTTAACCTTTCTATTAAAACTATGACTCTAATAAAATCACATTTTAAGGCACCGACTGAATGCAAACATATCACCTAATGCTCTCCTTTGAGCAGTCTCTCAGTTTTCTAAAGGGCTCTAGCTACTATTTTCTTGCCAACAATTAGACTCACAATATTTTTTCAACAGATTATGTGGCATTTTCTGCCCATTACTTTTCTCCAATTTATTTCAAACATTAAAATGAGACTCTCCCACCAATATACTGGGACAGAGACAGTGTTCACAAATCCACGTAATTTTAAACCCACAACATAATCCAGCAGGAATGTGGATGAAATGAGGACAAAAGGTACAAACAGAAGCCAGGCAAAATCCCGTGTTCTGTCTCCCTCTGATAGGGCAGGAGGATCAGAGGCGCTTCACACACAGGCCGCCAGCCTGTCCCAGCCAGCCAGGATTTAGCAGACTCAGTCAGCTCCAAAAACCAACAGTTTGGATTTTACCTTTTAAAAAAGCAAACCAATCCCTCTGAAGTGGCAGGGCTTTCTACAGGAGTGTAAAGGGATTTCCTCTAAACCCTCTCTCTCCACTTTACGAACATCTCTTTTCTACAGAGCACAAGGCTCTTAGACAACCATAGCAATTTAAATAAACACATGTGTGTATCAAACCTTCGGTTATTAAGTTAAATTTAACTCACCCAAAACCAGCCTTTGGAGATGGTTAACAATGGGTTTAGCTGTCTTTTCAAGCCCTGCAGAGACAACCTTGGGCTTTTTTGGTAAATAGTCTGATGTGTGAAATCCCTACAGATTGATCTCTGAGTCATTGAGGAAGCCAGATAAGAAATAAGAAAGTTCACCCCCATAGAGACACAGAGTACCCTGAGTTTCTGAGTTACCTGGTCACTTTCAGAGGCAGAGCCATACTGTCAGGATGCCACCGTCATTACGTGGGGCATTCTGGGCAATAAGTTACTCCTTTCCATGTCCTCCTCAGAACACCAAGTACTGAGGGTTGACCAGCTCCCTGGGGGTGAGCCATCACTCCACAGTCCCTTGATTTTAAAAATGGGAAATCTTGCCTCCAGCATTTCCAATATCTCTCTGTGCTGGCTTAGTAAATTCCAAATGAACAGCTCTGGCTTCTCCATGCTCCTTGGAGACAAACCAGCAGTGAGGTTCTTGAGGATTCTGACAATGCTATGCTTGGGAATTACTTAGAGGGTTTAGGTGCTGAGTTCTCAGTCCTTTCCCCAAATAAACATTAACATGTCCAGCCTTGGGTTGTGATGTTGAGGACACAGCTGTATACTGTGCACCCTTTGATTGCCATCAAAGTGTGTGCCTGTTGGTGGCACAACAGGGAGCCCAGACAGGAGGGAAGCTGACCACTTACTGGCTGAGAAATTTAATGAGCCTTATTTTGCTAAGAGAGTATAGAATAACCATGGTTAATGTTGAGAACAGCTTAAAATGCCACATAATTCTAAGAACTGTGCCATGTGAAGTCAGAGGCTTGTCAGTCTTGGTGCATTCCTCACACAGGTGGAAAACCTACCACATTAATTGTTTTATGAGGCCTACTGAATTTATTAAGCAAGATGTTATGGCATCAACCATGAATTCTACTCAGCAGCCTACATCTGATGAAGCTTCACGGCATTAAGGGGGTCGAGGGGTGCAGATCTTAAAAATGACTTCATCCTGAACAATGTCGGAAGCCCAGCAAGGTCAAATGACAAGCTTCTGAGGCCTTGCCCCAGGGAGGAGCACCTGTCAGCTGACAGCTGCTGGGGAGGAGGAGAACCCTGGACTCTGCAGACGGTTTCTCATCAGGGTCCCACTGATTTTGGTCACAGTGTGTTATTTTAAAATAAGAGGAGGACACGGAGTTGTGAGGGGCATATTGGGAGATCAGATCAGACACACTGAGTGCATGGATCAAGTCCTTGGAGAATTAAGTTTTAAAATTGAAAACTTTAAAAAGGTGCAGAGTTTTCAAGAACTATCACATGAGACCCACAACTTCATGCCTGCTTGAATGCAAACTTGAAAGTATAGATACTCACTCCTCCGCTGGCCCCATGAACCAGAACGCTTTCCCCAGCTCGAGCACGGGCACTGCAGGAAAAAAGCAGAGGCGTCATCAAGCTCCCGGTCAGAGGAACCAGAGCAGCTGTTCCCATCATCTGTGAGGAATCTCTACCCTTGCTTCAGTTAACGCTCAAAGAGATGCTGAATCCTAACATGGAGTCAAGTGTCCTCTCACCCCAAGATGCGAATGACGGTGGCCACGGCCGCAGTGAACACAAACCGTCCATGCAGTACCCACCTGGATACTGTCATTGGTCTGTCACCTGCCTGTGGCCATGTTGGGTGCAGGGATCACACTACAATGCTTAGGCTGCAGTCTTTGTGTGTTGGTGGGGCTTCTGAACCACGGCTGGAGACCCTCATTGTCATGTGTCCCCAGAGTGTTCTCAGGCAAGTTTGCTGCAGATCAGTCATTATCCTGTGGTCCAGGGTTGCCCAGGTAACAGCAGGTGGGCTGCTTCTGACCAGTTCTAATAGCCTTTCCACACCTCTAAAAGTCAACTCTGAGTGGTCCCCAATGAGGCCGTGCAGTCACCAAGGCCCCCCGGCTACACCCAAAATGCCCAGGCTGGTCTCCTGTGCTACACTACTACCTTCCTTTAGACCCTGGATGCTCGGAACAGACACCATGTCATACTGGGGAGCACTTCACTATGCAAACACATGAACCTTCCTCTCTAGGTACATTATGATCCCGCTCATTCCAAGGATATGGAGGATAGCTCCTTTTGGAGGGAATCTGTTCACTCTGGAATGAGACTACAATAGCCCCAAGTCCCTGCTCATGGCTTCCCAATAGCTTTGTCAACATCCTGTCTCCTACCTACATATGTTTCCATAATTACATCTTTATTCTTCTGGGTCTCATGGCTGGGCTTCCTTGTAAACTCTGAAGCCCGTCCTTGCCTGGGACTGGAGTCCTTTCCACCCTTTATCTGTGTTTGGATATTCACTATCTCAGTTCATCATTAAACGCTATGTAGGGTCTATTTGTATCCCTCTACCCTTCCACTGCATCTTCTCTCTGTCTGTCTGAGCCTTCAAAACAACAATAACAACAACAAAAAGTAAATAAAAACCTCCTCTAATACTGTGGTGGTCTGAATGAGAATGGCCCACACCAGCTCATGTATTTGAATTCTTGGTCTCCACTTGGTGGGATTGTCTAGGATTAGGAGGTGTGGCTTTGGTGAAGAAGTGTCACTGAGGGTGGGTTTGGTAATTTTAAAAAAAAATCCATATCTCTCTCTCTCCATCTCCTTCCCTCCCTTCTCCACCCCCCCACCCCCCCCACCCCCGGCCTCATGGCTGTGGTTCAGATACAAGCTCTCAGATACTGCTCCAGCACCATGCCTGACAGCCTGCTAACATGCTTCCACAATAATGATCATAGTTTGCCTGCTGAAACTGTAAGGCCCTGATATATATGATATATTCTCTTTCTTTTATAAGTTGCCTTGGTCATGGGGTCATATCACAGCAATAGAAAAGTAAGACTATGGTGGCTTGAATAAGAATGTCCCCCTCCTAGCCAGGTGGTAGTGCACACCTTTAATCCCAGAACTCAGGAGGCAGAGGCAGGCTGAGCTCTGGGTTTGAGGCCAGCCTGGTCTACAGAGTGAGTCCCAGGACAGTCAAGACTACACAGAGAAACCCTATCCCAAACAAATAATAACAAAAGGATGCTCCCCCAGCCCCCAGACTATGTTTGAATGCTCAGTGACCAGGGAGAGGCACTATTTGACAGGATTACAGGATGAGGAGGTGTGGCCTCAGTGGAGTGAGTGTGACCTTGTTGGAGGAAGTGTCACTGGGGTCCAGGCCAGGCCTAGGCTCCTCGTCTCTGCTGTGGATGAGGATGCCAGTCTCAGTGACTTCTTCAGCATCATGCCTGCCATGTTCTCTGCTAAGATGATAATGGACTAAGCCCCCAAAACTGTAAGCAAGCCCCCAGTTAAATGCTTTCCCTTATAAGAGTTGCCATAGTCATGGTGTCTCTTCACAGCAGTAACACAGTGACTAAGACAAAGATACATATTTTCCTCAGAGTGTTTTATCTCCTTCCAGACTCCCATTTTTTGAGAAAATGATCTTCACTCAAGGGACTAATTTCCTGTTTCTTCTCAAATGATCATACTTCTGTCCTCTCTGTGACTGGCATGACCCCGAAATGCTTAGTTACAAATGGCTAGCAGCAAGCAGTCACAGTCCAGGCATAGAGGCGTGAACTCGAGGTGCCATCTCACCTGTGGAACAGAGCTCGGCAGGCTGTGAAGTACGGGATCCCCAGGGCAGCCCCCTGCCTGAAGTCCAGCGTCTTGGGCAGCGGGTAGATAGTGTGATCCGCTGCAAGAGCAAATTCTGCGTAGCCACCAGAGAGTGTGCTGTAGCAGAACACCCTGTCGCCTTTCTGAAAAAGATATCAACAAATACTGCAGCAGAGATTCCAACTGTGACAAGATGGCTGGGACCTGTCACAATGCCAGCTTACAGTGAGACACAATCCTTCCAAGATGGCTGGGACCTTCACAGTCCAGCTTACAGTGAGACAAAATAATTTCCATGTGGATGTCTCCAGCTCAGTGTCTCACAAACATAGCTGAAACACTGAATCTCTATACACGTTTTCTAAGAGAGAACTTAAGAAAAGAAGCACTAAAGGAGACAAGGAGAACAGAAGACACCCCTGAAATGCATGAGGACACTGGGAGTGCTACAGCAGTTCAGCTGAGCACTTACTGAGCTGGATGCTGTATTCTTCCTCATAAGCATCACAGTGACCCAGGGAAAGTGTGTGCTCATCCTCCAATTAGGCAACACATTGAAATAGTAGAAAGAGCCAAGCAGATCACATTACCCCTCATAGCGAGACACAAGGCACCCTGGTAATGGCCACCTGCTGCACCCTAGCCATGGAAATGCTGGCCATCTGAACACCTGGCCTACGTCTTTAGAAGAAGACACATAAGAAAGGAGATATACCACGGAGTAGACAAAACACTGAGCAATGACGGCTTCATCCTCAAACAGGCGCTATGATAAATAAGTACATACAAAAGCTAACGGCACCATGCTGCAGGATGATGAGGCAAGTCTGTGGAAGGAAACTGAGAGCCAAAAGCAAGCATCACCATTGGACAGTGTTGTCTGCAAATGGCCAAGGAAGGCTAAGTTAAGACGAATCCCAGTTCTATGGCTTGAGAATCAGCCTGATTGATTTCAGTGTAATTCAAACATTGAGAATTCACCAGAAGGAAAACGTAATTTTTGGAGTTCTGTGGGGATACCATCAATAGCAATGCACTGCCCCAGATCTCAAGCACACGTACCTCTAGGAGGGGGAAAGGAAGGCATTCAACTGGAAAGCAAGTAAACACGTAAGAAAAAAGGTGAGAAATGGAGACGTGACTCTATGCTGAGGACATTAAAGAAGCCACATGGGGACACGGGTGGTCGAGGCAGGGCCTGAAGGACAAGGTCTGAAGAACAGAACTGGAATTAGTAAACAGTGAAGGAAGCCGGGTGGCAAAGGAGGCAGCCAGGAGCAAACGCTAAGCCAGGCCAAGCGTCTCCTGCTCACGTAAGCCACAGCTCTCATCTCAAAGGGAACAGGGTTTATTCTGGAACCACAGCCCAGGTGCAGGGTCTAAGTCAGCTCAAGTGCTGTATCCCAAGTGTTAGCAGTTTCATGAAGTAAAAGAACGATAGAAGGCACAAATCAAGGCACTTTCCAAATGCATCCTGGGAACATCACGGTAGGCGGTTACAGCAAAGCAGGGAATTCGATGTCCTAGGCTTCAAACGGTGTTGGATGGTGATCTTAGCATTAGGGTTGGTGGGAACGTGCAGTCTATGTGTGCAGCCCCAAAGGACTTATGTAATTGCCACAAAGATGGATGTTAGGTCAAACAAAGAAGTGAGCGATGGATGGCTGTTAGCAGGGCCTGAAGACAGACCAAGATAATTTAGCTCGGGAGCTGCAAATGTTAACATGGGATGGGGGTTATTGTCTGAGAACTTCAGTGCATACTCCAAATAGTCGGCAGGTATCTTACATGCAGCACACAGCAACTGCCAGAAATAACATGGAAAGAAATCAAACAGGAGTCCAGAGGCCCCAGAAGCTACATTTATGCTTCAGTGCCATCCTGCCAAGTAGCAGAAACAGCACAGACACAGCCCTGAGAGAGCAGGGTGTGCACAGAGCAATTGAGCACTGAAGAAAACAGCAGCGGAGAAGGAGAGGGAGACAAGAGCGTAACGAGCCGCAACAGTCCCACCTCACAGTGTGAGAACCTCATCAACGCCAAAGCCCACAAGCAACAGATGTGGGAGTTGGACGAAGCTTTCTAGAGTTAGGACCCCAGGAGCAGGAGAGAAGGTAGCATATGTCTATAGACTCCAGGTCACAGGGTAGCTTCAATAGGTGAGACAACCTGAACTAAGCCACAGGCAGTGGCCACAGGAAAAGGAGAGGAAGACTGGTGACAGACTGAGAAGAGCCTCAAACAGCAGGTGTCACCAAGAGGAACTCAGTGGGCACAGATGACCTCAGCTTTTGATAGACTGAGGAAGGGCCTCCTTGGATGTAAATATAAGTTTTGTTCACCTGAGGTAATTTCCGGCTGCTAACCTAGGCTTAGTCCTGGAAGCATCTACCCCCAGTAAAATCTTATCTAGGGCTAGAATGTTTTTACCCTCTAAGACTTATTGCTGAATAAGTTTACCCTTTCTAGTTCTTTCTGGTTCTGGCTGGCTCCTCAACTCAGCTATTCAAATACCCCTCCCTGCTGACTGATTTAAACAGGCTTCTTTCAGCTTCTGACTGAATTACTCTGTTTGATCTCATACTAACTTTGACAATGTGTTCTAATCTTCTGGCTCCTTCTCATTCTCTGGTTTGTTCTGTCTTCACCTGGGTCTATCTTGTTTTCTGTCTCTAAAACTTGTCTCTATACAACTCACTCTCTCTCTCTCTCTTTCTCTCTCTCTCTCTCTTTCTCTCTCTCTCCCCCCCCTTCTCTCTGTGGGGGTTGGGGAGGGAGTGAGGGCGCAGTTGGCACTACTTTCTCTTTAGTGACCTTTTTTGATCTCTTGGATCTCATTAGAGTTGGGCATTTCCTATTCTGTCAAATCTTTCTCATTCATCACTCTGTCTGCCACTCAATTAGACATCATTTTCAAACATGGGTGCTTCCTTCTACAAAATAACTTCATTGTTTGGGATTAAAGGTATGTATTTAGGCTCTATCTGTATCCCAGCCAGAGGGATTAAAGGTGTGTGTGTGTGCTAAGGGCATGTCTGTATTCTAGCCAGAGTGACCTTGTTGCTGGATTAAAATCCCTCTATACTGAGGGGTGACCAGCAGGACACAGCCCTGTCTAGGAAGGGAACAGCGAGATGCACAAGTCTATTAGGCACTCAAGAAGTCGTTACTGTAGCATAGGAACTGGACTGATGTGAGTGCATTGCAGACAGTACCAGGTCTTAGTTGAATACTCTAAGCTACAGACACTGGATAAGAGAAAGGAACTAGAGGTAGCCTGTGGCTGTGGATTACTATGAAATTCAGTAGAACAAATACAGAAAGCAGGGGTCTGAGTGGGATTGGGGACTTTAGGCAACAGGATTGGGAGGGCATCCAAAGAGCAAAGATAAAAACAATGAATGCCCGGAGGAAGGACATCAGGACATATGGCGCAGCGCAGCAGAAACCGAAGTAAATGTTGGATTTTGGTTTTGTTTTTGTTTAAGAAAAAGTTAAGTGACTGAGAATGTCAAACGCCATCATGAAGTTAAGAAAGATAATAACTCAAAAAGGTTCCGTTCACTCTGGGAGTCTAGAGACTATCGGTGGCATTGGCACAAAAGCTCTAGAGATGCTACTGGGGCAGACGGCAGTGTTAAGACAGAGAGGCAAAAAGCTGTAGGAGTCCACCCCTTCCTGCACAGGAGCACGTTAAGTTTCTCTAAGTCAGCCCAGCTTGGTAAATATAGTGCCAAGGTTGAGCAGGTTAAGAAATCAAGAGGAAAGAGGGTAGATATAAACATGCTACAAAAGTACTTCCCACGTCAGGCATGGCTTCTGACAGAACTGGAGGGATAGCCATGATCACAGTCCTGATCTCAACTTCACAACTGCACAGTGTCTTGGCATATGCACATGTTTTATCACCCTCCAAAAGAGCTACTCTTTCCTTTATTTTGTGAAAGGAAATGAAAACATTCTGTCTGTACAGGAAAAAAGCTGGCCATCTGTCATCTCCCTGTTTGTTTCCTTCACTCACACGTTTCTATTAGACTTACTAGTCCCCCAAGTTGCAGGAAATGTGCATTGAGTCTCTCTCAAAGCCTTTAAAGCTATAACTAAATTTCAGAAGAATGCTTAGGCAAAATAGAAATAATTAAGAATGGAATACCTTGAAAGCAGACACATTGTCTCCAACAGATTCTACAATCCCAGCCACATCGGAGCCCGGAGTGTAGGGTAAGGAAGGTTTTCGACTGTAAGTCCCAGAGCGAATGTATGTCTCCACTGGGTTGACACCGCAGGCGTGGACTTTGATTAGGACCTGTATTGACAACACCTGTCAGTTTGTACAGAGCACTGAGGCATTGGCTTACAATAGTGCTGTGTGGAAAACAATGGAGCTGGAGAAAAAACTGAGACAACAAAGCAAGACCAAGCCAGCCCCTGCCTCCAGCAAGCCTGTATTCTAAGTCTGCAGTAGGAAGTAAGGTAGACTAGCTTGCACGCTATATTCAAACTTCCAGGAAACAATACAATACACAATACACGTAAAGAGGTGTGTTTCAGAGACCTCCAGTTGCCCATCAGCCCACTTCCTCTTCTGAGATATGTAGGAGGATCGTTATTTCCTGATGTGCTGGATAGTTTTTATGTCAACTTAGCATGCACTATAGTCACCTGAAAGCAAGGAACTTAGAAATTGCTTCAGGCTGCAGTAAAGCAGGGTGGCCCAGCCCATTGTGGGTGGTGCCATCCCTGGGCAGGTGGACCTGGGTTCTATAAGAAAGCAGGTTGAGCAAGCCAGGAAGAGCAAGCCAGTCAGCAGCACTCCTCCATGGCTTCTGCATCAGCTCCTGCCTCCTGGTTCCTGAACTACATGAGTTCCTGTCCTAACTGCTATAAATGATGAACCCTGAGTGAAATAAACATTTTCCTCCCTGCCAAAGACCAACCAGCTCCCTGAGTTCTGGTACTCTCTTGAAGGTAGCCAAGGGGGGTGGGGGGAAGACCATCAGCAGGGACAAGACTAAGTCTTGCAAGAGATTAAGATTGCTTTCTATAATAACATTCACCTATCTTGACTTCCGGTTACTCTGAGGCCAGAAGCTTCAGGCCTCTGGGCCTATTGATACTTGTTGCTAACAGCAGGGCATTAAGTAAAGAGTTCCCACAGGTCCTTGTCAGCTAGAAAAGCTGCTCTCAGGAAGAAAAAAAAGGGACACTTTTTAAAAAGATTCTAATCTTTATTTCTAAGGGAAAGTAAAAGGAGGAAAAACTGATCGGACTTTATGCTCTCCTAATGTCTAAGTTACTCTGGTCTGCTCTGCTTTCTTCCTCCTGATCTTGCTCTGTGGCAGGATTTTCCCTATCCAATTAATTTAAGTGTTAGCGCAGCAGGAGGCCTCTGATTGGACAGGGAACAGGGAGGCGGAGCTAAGAGTTACAGAGATGGGATGGAGAGGACAGGTAAAGAAAGAAGCAAGATGGAGGACGAACAGGATGATTCAGATTCAGCGTGGCTTTCAATAGCCACAGGTAAATATAATATTATATAGGAATAGACTAAGGGAGGTAACTTGTCTAATCTAGGTGGGCAGCCTGTACCATTATCAATTGGCACTGAATTGACTGTGGGCATCTTGTGTATTTAGAATTATTGATATATAAATCTGACTGGTCAATTATAAGCTTCTAGAGTTTTGTTTTACGGGGTTACTGGAATGTGGGACCGCAGACCACAGAGGGGTTATGGCTGAGAAGGTATGGGCAGCACTGAGACAAGCAAACTGGAGCTGGGAAGACCACGACTGGTCAGTCACCTGGAGCCTAGCTTAGAGACAGAAACGCGGCACCACCACCACCACCAGGGCAGACTGTAGCTAGGTGGAGCACTGGAACTGGTACCCCTTTTTTAATATTTTCTGCAACATTGATCTCCTTCTGCTCTCAATGTAATAGGTCCTAGTATTTTATACCTTTTCTAGAACAGATTATATGGTTTTTCCAAATATCTTTTTTTTTACAAAAGTTCACTAAAAGTTCAAACATAAATTCAAATCATAAACTGAATAAGAAGTTTACAAGGGCGTTTACATGTGTTTCCATTAAGACTAGTTATCTAGCTAGACATTCATTGTCTGTCACGAGCTCCACAGCTTCACTGAGAGTCTAAAACTGTAACTTTTGTGTCTAAGTTAACACTGAAGTTTTGTATAGACCAACGCAGTCAAAATTCTATGTCCTGTTCTTGCAACTACAATAAATCATTAGGTCTCTAATATGACCTTTGGTTAATTGTTTTAAAGCCTCTTGGAATGTATTCTAAGTTGTAAATGCCTATTTTTTTTTTAATCTCAGAAGCAATTAATTCATGACTCATGAAGACTTGCAGTCATCTCATTGCAGCTTTAATGTCAGAGAGGACTTAATAGCAGTCGTATTATAAAGGGCTTAATGATTACTAGTATAATTTTAGGAATTCTTATAGAATCATCACTAGGAATTAAGAAATCATCTATGTGTCTGTATAGCATGACTACTGTGTAGATCAATCTTCATTGATCTGCAAAAATCTGATTTATTATATTATAAATATATTAATAAATTGTATTCATTTAATTTAATAATGACAGGAACTGGATATGAATAACAAGTTGCTTTTGCTTAGGATGTTTCATCACGGCGATAGAAACTCTAAATTGGTACCATGTAGTAGCTACTTATGTGACAGGCTTGATCCTGCTGGGTTTTGGTGGAAGGTGAAAGACATTGTTACAGTTTTGACTAGCTTTGATTGATTGTGACTATACCTTCTGGAATAAGGAAGCATTTAACTTATTTTCAAGAGCCCATAGTTAAAAGACTTTGAAACAAAAAGCATCTTCAACAATGGTGCTGGACTAACTGGCAGTCTGCTTGTAGAAGAATGCAAATTGACCCATATTTATCAAATTGTACAAAGCTCAAGTCCAAGTACTCAAGTCCAAGGACTGTGGTCCTGCATACAGCCTCTTTACTAGTGTCTGGGAAGGTTACTTGGGCAGGCAAAACGGGAGGCCCTCAGCTCAACATTCTGTCTGCTGCTGGGGTGTGAGAACTCTGATGGGCAGAGGAAATGCAGAAAGCTAGACTGCATTTACTCTACCCTAAGCCAACACCTTATACCCTGGAGGGGGGGGCGGTACTAAGCTTATGGGAAATGGCAATGCACCACTAGGTGGGTGGGAGAATGCAGCCTTGGGTGGGGGTCTCAGCCCAAGCGAGAAATGAACTCAAGAAGCTAGACTCCAAAAAACCAAATAACCCAATTTAAACATGGGATACAGAGCTAAACAATTGAGGAATCTCTGATGGCCAAGAAGCACTTAAAATGTTGGTCATCCTTAGTCATCCAGGAAATGCAAATCAATATGACCATGAAATTCAACCTTACACCGGTCAGAATCGCTAAGATCAAAAACTCAAGTGACAGCAGATGCTGGAGAGAATGTGGAGAAAGAACACTTTTCCATTGCTGCTGGGTTGAAAACTGGTACAACCACTCTGGAAATCAATCTGGTGGTTTCTCAGAAAACTGGAAAATGATCTACCTGAAGACCTAGCTATAGCCCTCTTGGGCATATATACCCAGAAGATGCTCCACTTTTTTTAAGATTTAAAAGTTTTTAAGTTTTACATAGTCTTTGGATTTTATTTTATTTTATTTTTTTATTTTTTTTTGGTGTTTCGAGACAGGGTTTCTCTGTATAGCCCTGGCTGTCCTGGAACTCACTCTATAGATCAGGCAGGCCTCGAACTCAGAAATCCTTCTCCCTCTGCCTCCCAAGTGCTGGAATTAAAGGCATGCACCACCACCACCCAGCTGGATTTTTAAATAGACTGAATTTTAAAGTGTTTGAACTTTTAAAGACTGTAGGACTTTTCAAGTTTCTAGAATATTTTATAATGTGATGTTGACATTAATATGTGATCTTGGGGATGAACAAGAAAGGATGTGGCTTAACAGTGATGTGTTTGCGTGTCAAGCTGACAATGGGTAAATTACAATGGCTAATTCTATATCAACTTGACACAAGCTATAGTCATCTGAGGGGGAAGGACCTCAATTGAGAAAATGCACAAACAAGACAGGACTATAGGCAGGCCTTAATTAGTGATTGATGTGTGAGGACCCAGCCCACTGTGGGCCATGCCACCCCTAGACTGGTGGTCCTAGATGCTATAAGAAAGCAGGCTGAGCAGGGAGTGAGGAGCAAGCCAGTAAGTAGAACTCCTCCAAGACCTCTGCATCAGCTCCTGCCTTCAGGTTCCTGTTCCTTTTGAGAATGGGAGGTGGGCAGGGCTATTTTTAGGTAAAAGAAATATGTACAAAGATAGAATGAGAGTCTCTTGGGGAAACCGGATAAATTAAGATTGTTAAAATCTCTGAGAGGGTGATAAGAAATGAGCCTGGAAAGATGAGCTATGAATAAAATGAAGAAAAAAAATTCTCCTAAGGCTGGCGAAGGATATTAGGCTGGGGGGGGGTATGGAATGAGTCTTAATAAGTGTATACAACTTGAGTCCAAAGGATATTGATAAAAGCCACTAGAGACAATTAAATTCCACAGCTGAATTCCCTTAAGAGTAATCTGACAAAACATTAGTGCAGAGGGAAAATTACTTTCCCACCGTGTAAAAAAATAAAAACCAAGGAGGTTCTTGAGAGCAGAACTTTCTCAGAATTCCCAAGATACCAGTAAAATATTGCTATTATACCACAGAGCTCATTTTCTGCATCAGAAACTTTGTAGCCAGAAGTTATTCAAGTGTCTACTTCAGGAAGTATCACATGCGTTACTTTGTCAGGGTTCACACAGACAGGTGAACACTGCCCTGTTTCAGTATCTGTAGCTCACTGTGCACCTGCTCTGGTCAGCCATTGCAATAATTGTATCCACCTGATGGCTCTGTGGGACAGGAACTACCACGTCCTGGAGCTTCAGCACCTCTGGTCCACCAAATTCAAACACTCGAATAGCCCTCATCAACTTCTGTCCAGTTGCCATGGCAATCTAGAGGCTAAGACAAATTAATATATTATCATATTGCATCTAGGCTACCACTGTTTTTTTTTCTCTTCCCCACAAAGAAAACAGATCAAATAATTTTTCAAATAACAATTTAAGCCAGGAGCTTCCCACTGATCTCATTTCATTCGTGAGGACCTTTCATCTTAAAAACCCTTCAGCTACAAAGCAAAATACTCTGTAGGACTTCCTGTGGGGATTCACTGCCTTCAACAAGGGAGTCAAACATGCAAATAAAAACATCTGGACCAACACAGGACACGACATCTGATGTTTCCTTTGCTATAAGCTTGGGTTGCGGTGCCTTAGAAATGTCCCGAACTTAGATTTAGGGATCTTTAGTCAGATTATGAAGTGTTGCAAACATAATAGAGAAATACGGAACAAATGCATTTATACCTAGATTTAACAAGTTAATCTTTTAATAACCTAAAGCGTTATGGACATAATTGAAGCCCATTGCCTCGTCCTCCAGACTACCTCTGGGCATCACTTTCAAGAATCGGTAAGTACCATAAGTCCGATGTTAGTAATTCGGTGAGCGTGTTTATATGCATTTGGGAGCAACTTGTGCAGTTATTTTGTTCATGTACTAACTTTACTTAGGTTGGATTGTACTCAACTGTGGTATTTCCTTTTTCCACTTAGCACTAAGGTTTTTAAATCTATCGGGTTATGGACACAGACTTCCTGCAGGGTTTTTTTTACATTTGTTTATATGTGTATGGTTCTGTGAAAGGAGGTATTGACACAAGCCAAGGCACAGGCGTGGAGGGCAGAGAACAACCAGGAGCTATGTGGGTCCCAGGGACCAAACTGAAGTGGCTAGGTTTGGTGGCAAGTGCCTTTACCTGTTGAACTGTCTCACAGTCCCTCTGTAGTTCGCTGTAACAAAAGGAGAAAGAAAATTGAAAGTTAAGAATTGGTGTACCCATTTATACATAACAATGGCCCAGCTAACTTTTCTGTCATCCTATTATAAGGAAGATAAAAGTTAGTTAAAAATAAACTCTAAGAAAAGCAAAGCTAATTAGCAAATGAAATTATGTAACTGGAAACACCTTACTGATAGATGTGATGAACTGGTTTCAGCTGTATGTCCATAATTTTAACTATGGCCTATCATAATGTCTTTAATTAAATCAAATCAAATAGTTAGAATCTGCTGCTACCTAGGAGGTGTTTGAGACATAAAACTCAAAACCGGAGAAAAAACAGTTTTCTATCTAGTCCAGAAAACGAATCAGGGAAAACACTGATGCCAAGCAGGCACTGGTTGTGCCATTCACTCAACATGCACTTTCTCAATATTAAATGTGAATGCTGCCAAACTCTCTCCCAGGAGAGATGTAAGCAAATACCCCCACATCCTAATGTGGTCTCAGCAACAAACCAAAATACAACTCCCCAGGGTCTGGCTCTGATGAGGTTATAAGCCTTACAGAACATGGGTGATGGGTTATTTACAGGGGATGCAGATGACTCCAAACCAACCACACCACTGGCAAGTCTCACCCAAGATGGACTAGAACATCCCCATGGCTGGATAGATGGAAACCCTCTTCAGGTAACCCTCTACCTTCTAAATACCCTAGCACCTTCCAGAACAAAGAGGCCAAGTGCAGTTAGGGCAGAGTTGCCCACAGTCGGGCCAAGGTACAGGAGGGAGAGTAGCTGGAATATCAAGTAAAGTGCAAGGACCCCATCCTTCTATGAGAGAACATCAGTAGTCAACAATCGTGATCTCTAGGGTGTCAGGGTCTATTGTATGTAGGTCATCATGGCTTTCTGCTACAGGCCGCAGCTCAGAGATTAGCACTTTTCAATAGTAAATCACTATGCTAAACCCAGAAAATGTAAGGACTGCTATGAACTGTACACACACACACACACACACACACACACACACACACCCCATATTTAACTCCTCTTTTCATTATTTTTCTCCTTTCATTGCTGTGCTATAGCTAGCACCTAGGCCCCGAAGCATGCTAAGCATCTACAACCAGGTTCTGACTTTGGCTTTTCTGAGACAGGTCTGGCTATGTATGTGGATCAAGTTGGTCTGGAACACGCCATGAAGCCGACGGTGGCTTCCAATTCAAAATCACGCAGCCTCTGCATCTTGATGCTGTGATTACAGGCAAGCCCCGCCTCACTCTTTTTTCCACTTTCCGCTTCTCTTTGCTGCCTCCTCATCTATTTCCCATACGTATCTGTCTTTCCAGCAGACATCGTTATTAGCCTCAAAAGATTGCCGTAATAATAAAATCAATATTGTTCTAAAGCAGGGTCTGTATCTTGTTGCTAACTCATTTATTTTGTTTATATTTTGAAGGGGGGGCAGAAAAAGAGAAAGGGAGAGAGGGGAAGAAGGCTGACAGTCTCTTCATTCTGCCCTGGGTCTAGATCAGTACTACGCCCTCCCCCAATACATACACACACACACACACACACACACACACACACACTTTATCCTGCAAAGAGGCAGCCTGTCCATGGCAGGGCCACTCTTTGCTTCTCTTAACCTCATTCCCCACTGAGCCTTTGCATTCTGATGGCTCCAGCCAGCACACATTACCTCTGAACTCAACCACAGGATCATCATCTGCTACCTAACACTGGTGCTGTATCAAAGGGAAGCTGCAGGGGGCCAGCCCCAGCCTTTTGGGGTCTGGAGCAGAGGTGGAAGACAGAGCTGGACAAAAGCCAAAAGCCAGTTGTTCAATGGCCTCATAAACTCTCTAACTGGACTGAGGGCTAGAAGCTGACGGCTTCTGGAAACTTTACACTCTCTTGATTATTCTGAGGCTGAAAACCACTGGCTTCTGCCAGGAGCCATCTAGGAGAAGCTAAAAACTAGCAGGCGATCTTCCTGAGATGGCTCTCCCATGCACTGTAAATCTTTAACAGATTTGCTCCTTTAGGCAAGGCCAAGATTAGACTTGAGGAAAGATTCCTGTTATTAATATGCTTTTCCTGTTACTATTAAACATATATAATAATCACTAGGTATTAGCCTATCTTTGTAGCAGATTTCTGCAGATCAGTGAAGATGTACTGTCTTGTAGTGATGCTATATAGACAAGTAGATGATTCCTTAATTCTTAATGATGATTCTATAAGAATTCTTAAAATTATAGTAGTAATTATTAAGATCTTTTATAATAGGACTGCCATTAAGTCCTTTCTGATATCGAAACTGCAATGAGAAGTTTGCCAGTCTTCAAGTTAATTGCTTCTGAGATAGCAAGCAGGCATCTACAATTTAGAGCACATTCCAAGAGGTTGTAAAACAATTAATCAAAGGTCATAAAGAGGGAAATAATAATTTAGTATATACGCTAGAACATAAGATAAAGTATTGACTGGGCTTATCCATACAAAACTTCAATGATAACTTAGTTATGGTCTTTAACTCTCCATGAACCTGTATAGCTAGCTCAGATAATGAATGTTTAGCCAGATAATTACTCTTAATGGATATGTATGTAAACATTCTCTGTTGTAAACTTCTTGTTCAATTTATGATTTGAGTTTATGTTTGAACTTTTAGTGAGCTTTTATTTATTTTTTTAAAAAGGATGCTTGGATAAACCATGTGATCAATTCTCCTAAAACAAAAGACTAGGAAAGGTTACACTGTATTGAGAGCAAGGCCACTGTTACATCAGAGCAGGAGGAAAGAGCAAGATTAGGAGAAGAACTTTTTTAGAGAAAACTTTTTTTGGAAAACGTTTTAGAGATCAAGAGAAGAACTTTTTAGAGGGACCTTAGAAATACAGGCTAAAATCACTTTTCAAAGTGTCTCTTTTTCTTCTTCTGACCTCAACTAGCAGGCTGGGAGTTACCACAGCAGTTCCTGCAGAGATAGAGCAAAGGCTACTTTATCTAATCCTTTGCTGTTTTACTATGAGGTGCTAAAGGCCAGAGACTCATAGTTTTCTGGCCTCAGAAGAACTCAGACAGGCAGGTAGGTCAGCTTACCATAAGAATGTGACTTAGACTTAAGACAGGTAAACATTTTATTATAATAAAGGCAACCCTAAACATCTTGCAAGACCACATCTTGCCCCCATAGACACTCTTCCCCCTCAGCTACTTTCAAGAGAGAATCAGAAAGAACTGCCACTAGAGCTGTCGCCCAGCAGGCTTCTTTTCTCTTTAACTCTCTGTGCTTAAATAAGCACTGGGGAAATTTAACCCCTTTGTGCTTAAATAAGTGCTTGGAAACTTAACTCTTTGTTACTGTTCTGTACTTAAACAAAAGCTAAAAAACTTAACTCTTTTTAATATCCTGTGCTTTAGTAAGCACTGAGAACTTAAGTCCCTGACTCTGTTTCTGGTGGATTAACATACACTCTTCAGCAGCAGGAATTAAGTAAAAGGATTTATTGTTAGTGTTCCTTTCTCTGGAGAGTAGGCCAGCAGCCCCTTGCTGGCTAGGCAAGAGGCTCAGAGCTCCTTAACTGTTTTCGAGCCAGAGAGAAGTCCCTCACACAGACAACACACACACCACACCACACCGGGAAATGTCTGTGCTGCAGCACCTTTCTTTATTCCTGTCAGCCTCTTTATACTTTTAGACAAAAAGTTCTCAATGTAAAAAAGAATTACCTCACAGATAAAATGCTACATAAAAGGGGAGTTACAGAAAGGTATCAGTAGCAAGTTCAATGCAGTGCATCATACTGCAAGCTCATTATAAGTTCAAAGCAACAGTTTTTACATGGTCTTGCCTTACCATAGTGTACATCTGTGGCTTCATCCTTGGACCTGAATATTTTTCCTTAAACACAAATTGGTTCCAAGACTATTTTCTCTTCTTAGTGCAACTATGAAAGTTCATTGTGTTTCTTATTATGCAGCCTTTACCTGCTATTTTGAGGAATGGGCACATTCTTTTCATGATTCTAACTTTATTACATCTTTCTAGCAAAACAATTAAAACCATCTTAAAACTTTCTCACTAAAGTGATTTGAATCAAATCAGGAATTCTATGAAACCATTAATTCATGAGAGTTCATTTTTATGTTGATCAGTAGGAAATATGCTCAATAGGGTGGGGTGGTGCCCAGGAATCCTAAAATTATATATGACAGGAAAGGCATATCAGCTACAAGAAGCAATCCAGAGATGAAGTCTCTTGAAATCTTGCCTCTCAGAGTTCACCCATCATAAGCCTCCAGGAAGGTCACCTGCTAGCCTTAACCTTTCCTAGATGGCTCCTATCAGGAATCACAGGAATAAAATAGCACAATATACTAATAGCAATTATGAAAACCCTTGGTCTTCAAAATACCCAGCTTTTCCTAAAAAGCACAGTTTTTAATTATCTTTATAATAGGCAAAAATGAATAGTTGCTGAAACAGTTACCTTATACAGAACTAAAACGCCAAATTTCCTTTTATGAATCAGAAGACATTAGAAGAGGTTTAGAAACCCTGGCCGGTCAGAGGTCACAGCAGGGCTAGAACCCAAGTTCATTGCCTGAAATGTTTGCTGATACTGTTTTTCTTAACTTATAATCTTGCAACTTCACTTTTTGAAATGTTGGCATAGATTGTCCTTTATTTCCCTGAAATGAATTCTGGAATGTATGAGAAATTGGGTATAAAAAGTCACCAAGCTACAGGCTGGGGCACTTATTATCTAATTAAAGCATCATTTTGGGTATTCTTCAAATGCCTATAAATTGGGAAATAGATTAGAAACACAAAAGATATGATTCTACAGGGGAAACTAATGATGGTACAGGGAAAGCTAATCTACCATGATGGTATAAGGTGTCTAGCATAGGCTACCTATGGGAATTGCCTGCAACAGAGGAAGCTTTGTCATTACTCATGGTCTCACACTGGACAAGGAGGAGCTTTCTGCCACTTTGGCGCATCTTACACTGTAGTCCAGGCTAACCCAGAACTCAGCTCATAGACCAGGTTGGTCTGAAGCTCTGGGTGACTTTCCTGCCTCAACCTTCCTACTGCACACACCATCATGCCTGGTTTCTTTCGTTTGTTAACTATGCTATGGTTTAAACTGGCATTTCTATTTATCAAATACATATGTTGTGAAAATTGTTTATAGTACCTTATTTTTTATTTTACTTTTTATTTCCAGGACATACACAATTAAAATTTTCTCCTCTAGGCTCTGCTTGAATTGATTCATAGGTTTAAATGAAAGTTAAAGGGATAGGGGAAATGTTAGAAGTATATCTTAACATAGAGTTAATGGGTCAACTCTCAAACTCAGAGTAAAGACATTACTAATCAAGTGCAGAGGGCCATGTTGGGCTAGCAGCAGGGAACACTTCTTGCTAAGGACTTGATTTGGATTTCCAGCACCAAAATGGTGTCTCAGGCTTGAGACCTACTCTAACTCCAGTTCCAGGAGATCCAATACTCTCTTCTGTCCTCTGAGTACATATGGTGCAGATATGCAGGCAAAACACCTATACACATAAATTAGATTTTAAAAAAAGAACAAAATAGAATTAATTTCTGGAGATAGTTTTAAATGAAGGTTAAAAATGAGACCCAATAGTTATAAAACGCACTGCCACTGTTCCAGAATGGCTCATGGAAGTACGTGGCTTATTATTAACTCAGAAACACAAAATAAATGATGAAAATTAAAGTGTCCAGTACCAGTCTTCTGGCTATATGATGTTGTCACAGTCTTGCTTTCATGGAGATCACCCTGTACCCCTGCAACATTTCATGGATAGGGCAGGCCCCGCTCCAGTGTAAGAGAATGCGGCTACAGGCTGCATTCCCTAGGGCAGGGGCCAGCAGGGAGTTATGGTGGCTTCTGGGGCTCGAGGTGGACAAGCAGTCCAAACAGTGGCCTTTGCACTTTCAATCATTAACAGGTCTTTTCTGGTCACCGGACTGAGGCAGGAACTGTAGGAATTGTAAATGCGCAAGATGTAGTTAACAAAGTATTAGGGTTTTTTTTACTCTGTCCCTCTGTGTTGTCTCTGACCCTCTCTAGGCCTCTCTTTTCTTTTAAAGACTACTGTAGGTGGGTAAACTAAATCTAAAGAAAGGAATAACAACGTCCACTGTATATACCTTGGAGGTCAGAACACAGAGCTTGTGTACCTGCACCTGGGGAGTTGTGAACCCAGAGATGGGGCGCAAGTGTCTCGGTGGAGGCAGGAATCAGCGAGCAGTTATCCCAACCGGAACCACCCAGCCCCCTGCTCTGCATAGCTCCAGTGCTGATCTCCTGGAGCCTAGAACTAGAAAGAAAAAAAAAAAAAGGCCTCCCGGCAGACAAGACTAGCAGCTTGCTTGTGGTCCTGGGTGACTTACCCTCCTCTAGAGTAGGAATCAAAACCTCCTAAGCTCCAGAAGTTCTGTGGGAAAACAGATGGGCTGGTTTTTCCTAACTTTGCAAGGCTCCACCTCACGGGTTACGCCTCTACGGTCTTGCGACGCACGCCTCACTCCTGGTTGCGCAAATGGGGAAGTTTGGTCCTCTCCGGCCACCGTGGTGGCAATATGGCTGCGCCCATAGAGAAGAAGGCGAATTCCAAAGCAGGGAGAGCCGACTCCAGATCGCCCGCTCATGGACCGCAGCGCAGAGTTCGGCCGATGGAAGGCGCAGAGTCTGAGCAAAGCGGACCTTAGCCGGAAGGGCAGTGTGGATGAGGACGCGGTGGAGGTGGTGGAGCTCCTGAATTCGCGGGAAGAGTTTTTCACCACCAGCTCCTGCGCGGGCCGCATCCTCCTTCTGGACGGGGTGAGGCCCCGGCCCGCCGAGCCTGTGCGATCGGGACGGTGACCTGGGTCACCTGTGCTTCCAAAGAGTTGTTTGTTATCTCCCTGAGGCCCTTACAAGCGATGTTGTAATGCTAAAGAGTTCCCCAAATGATGGTGGAGCCAGCTTAAGTGGCAACAGCTTGAAGATTGGGTTTATGGAATGCTAGAGGGATTTAAGTCTCTAGTCCCTTGGGTCACGCCCACCCTCACGAGCCACTCTTACCAAGTCCCTGTCACTACTAGATGGGCCTCCTAACTTTAAGAGGGTCGCTTGCCCCCTGGTGGCCGACTTCATTATAGCAGCCCTGGCCATTTTTAGCTCTAAATGAAACAATCCTTGTAGAGGGTCAAAGCCCTAGGCTGCGAACTGTTGACTGTTAGGAAATTTACATGCCCTCATCCTCTTCCTGTGCCGCGAACGGAGGATAACTAGACAACATCGGTTGCATGGGATATTGAGTGAGCAAAATAGGATAATTTATTTCCAGCATTTATCATCGTGCCTGGCCCACATTGCTGGCTAAAAGTCGCTAGGTCCCGTTTTGGTTAATCACTTACTGAAGTCCCAGATTAGCAAGGTCTGTTCATGTTTATAATGCTTCCATCATTCTCATTCTGTTCATGGACACCCTTGCTCACAAGCTAGCTGCCCACACCCCTTCTACCACTGTCCTGCCTGTTTTTTTTTTTTTCAGAACTTTTCCAATGAATCTCTGAAACACTATTGTCTCTCCACCAAGCCATGTTATACAACACATTCATTATATGTGTGTGTATTAATATATATTTATTTATATATAAATATATTTATAAATTAAATATATAAAATACATAATGAATATATTATACATAATAACGATTAAATATAATGTCGTAAATAGAATTATATATTGAATTATTTTCAAGAATCTTTTTGAGTGTTAATTTGTATTATATTAATATATTATATTATATTATATTATATTATATTATATTATATTATATTATGTTATATTATATTATATAGATTTTATATATTTGCTTTTTAAAGCAGAATTGTCTTGGCTAAATATCTGTGCCGAAACTCTGTGATACATTTCTTACTTTAGAAATTCCAAATTTATATCGTACTGTATATCCTGCACTCCTTTCCTCATTTTAACTAACTGCCAAAATTGAACTGTTTCCTTCTTTGGTTCCCTGTTTTTGCCTTGCGCGAGTCCTTCATTTAGGAGTGGCAGCACTGAGACAGCGCTCAGGCCCAGCAAACGCCCTACTACTGAGTTACATCTCAGCAACTCCCTACCTTTTTTTTTTTTTAATTAAAAAATCAAAACCAAAACTTCTAAAACAGGGTCTTTTGAAGTTGCCTAGGCTGATCTTGAACACATTTAATAGACCAAGGAGTCCTTGAAGCTGTGATTCTCCTGCCTCAGCTTCTGGAGTAGCTGATCTGTATTGCTTCCCCTATGTCCACATAGCTGAGACATGAGTCTCTAAGCTCCACTACTCAGCCAGACACAGAAAGAGGTGCAGACGAGCACAGTACCCACTTAGCAGTGGCTGTTCATTCTGAACTGTCATAGGACTCTTTCTGAACCTCTTTTAGTTTATGTATCTTATACTCTGTGGCTATTTATTTTTACTCTGCCTAGGAGAAAAGAAGGAAAGTGAAAAAATCAGGAGCAGAAAAACAGATAAACCAGAGATGTTCCAAGTCGTGATATTAGATTCTGTACATTTGTTAAATGTAAACTACACACTTGGCTCTGGCATTTATAGCAGCCAGCACAAGGCCAAATACATGTTACTAAAATCTTACTATAAAAACCAGTTATTCAGGGTCCATACTTCTAAGACCAGGTCCCAGAGTATCCTCCAGAGCTCTGTGTACATGGTTATTTTAGAGATCCAGTGATCTTCATGTATGTGGTTTCTTGCTCTCACTTTGCAGCATCTGAGGGAAGGTTCTGTGTATACCCATTAGAATTTGCAAAGAAACAATGTCTAAGTCGGTGTTATAATGAAAGCCTTTCTGGATCTTTGACACATTTCTCCTCACTTCTCTGCATATACAGTACTTTAGGAATCTCAAATGTGTTTGCATAGTGTGAGGAAAGTGTCCCAAGGCGTGCCCATTGCAGGTGTGAGCAAACAGTGGGTCTTCCATAGTGTTAGCCACACTGCTCTACAGGAGGTACCTTCTCCCTTTTTCATTTCTTATGATTCGATGCTGCCAACATACAAGCCTCACACCATCCTTTTCTGCCACCAAAAACATAACCAGAGGGGCATATGACCCAGGGTAAGCGTACTCACCTAGCATTCATAGGGCCGTGGATTTCATCCTCAGCATCCCAACACAGAAACAAAGAACACAGCTGTGTTTCTGAAGACACCTGAGTACTTTTACCATTCAATCCCTAAGTTATTTGAGTTGTTTTTTCTTCTAGGTTATCTTAACCCAAAACATATTGAATTGTTTTCAGGAATCTTTTTAAGTACTAGTTTAGGAATGCCCATCATATTAGGCAATGCAAATGTACTTGTTTTGTTAAATATTATAACTAAGTTGTCTGTTGTTTTAGAGCACAGATGGGTCTGGAGTTCAGAAACAACACTGCTGCTGGCTGCTGGTCACACACAAACCTTGTGCAAAAGATGATGTGGTGAGTTCTTAAATTAAAAAATGAACTTTAAAAATCCACAGTGTGAATAAAGAATAAAACATTCCCTTGTATAATTGTAATGGTTGAAGATTACGAAGCCCAGAAAGCTTTTGCTACGTCTGCCGTGTTGTGTGGTAGGAGATGACCATGTGGAGGCGTCCGTGTGCCTGCAGCTCAGCAGAGGGGCCTCTTCAGCAGCAGAGAGTTTGGACATTTGGTTCACTGGGTCGAAATCTTTCACTCAGCTCTGCTATTTAATAACTTTTCAACCTAGAAAAAAATATACAAGAAGGGACTTCACTCTGCATTGCCAGCTTCAGTGTTGAAATAAGCGTATATCATTTACCAGGATCACCTCTGGACACGTTCCTGGCCTGTGCCCAGTGTGTCCTCTCTGAGCCTGGAGTGTTAGGTGAGCTCAGGAAAGGTTGTATCAGGCAGAGACCTTTCCTTCCTGTTCCTTGCAGAAATCCAGTCCCATCCTGTGCAGAAAAGATGAAAGAAGAGAAATGGACACAGAGCGGAATGGCTGGTTCAGGCATTCTCCTGTAGAAGGGTGAGGGCTCGGAGGGCTGCCTCCCCTCCATAGGCTCCGCAGGGCAGATACCCCACCCCACCAATAAATAAATAAATAAATGTCAGGAGACTTTGTAAATAAAGTAAGCAAATAATAATCTTTGTAATAAAAATGTCCAGAAAGCAGAGGACACAGATATCTCAGTGTGGCTAGTGAGTCCAGGAATGTCTAGGAAGCAGAAGGCAGGTGGGAGGACGGGTTGACAGGACAGGGTGGGTCAGCCACGCCTCTCATGCTGACCTTTGGTTCCCTCAGATGACAGCTCTGAAGGGTGCCACCAGCGATGCTGTTTTGAAGTTTGAACCTTTTATCCTCCATGTGCAATGCCGGACACTGCAGGACGCACAAACCCTGGTAAGACTCTGAGCTTGCTCTTGAATTTAGATGTCTGTCAGAATTCATCTTAGGCCTTAAGACACCTTTTAAAATTATTTACTGTTGATCGATTCAGCTAATGCTTTGACTTAGTTGTTTTCACCTGTTTGATTGGTCTAGCGATTTACGTCAAGGGTTAGGAGCAGGGACTCCTGGTAATCTCTGGGGAAGGAAAATGAGCACCCACGCATGGCCCGAGGTCTCCCTCAGCTCCCACGCATGGCCCACGGTCTCCCTCAGCACCCACACATGGCCCGCCATCTCCCTCAGCAGCCTTCATGTGAATTTCACAGTGCTGTGTCTTTGGTTTTTCTGGCTGAGTTTAGAAGAAAGCTCCAGAACTGCGTGTTTGAAGTCTCCCTGCTCGTCTTACACCTTTAGCTTACTTCCCTGCAGACCTGTCTCATTGCAGCTGTAATTTAGTGAGAGCACTCTCCATGTGCCACAGAGCATCTGGTTGGAGCTGTGAGCAGATCCTCGCTCACAAGCTGTTCTGAAGACGCTCCTGAAGCTAAGACTGAAAAGGAAGAAACAGAGTTAGGCCTAAGCAAAGATTCTAAGCAGATTAGAATGTTCCCAGCACATAGTTTCAGAAGCAGAAAAAGACTTGGTGTATTCACAGAGCAGAATAGAGGGGAGAGAGGACGAGGGGAGAGAAAGATGGAGGCCTTTAGGCCAGAGGAAGAGATCCAATTGCCTTGTCAGGCAAGGGCTAGCTGCAAAGACTTGGCACACTGTGTTCTGCCAGCCTAGTTCTGCCAGGGTATAGTCAGGGCTCAACTGTAGTGGCGTCTGTGGGGTGGGGTGGAGTGTGGTGGCACGGCCTGAGAGGACACCAAAGGACATGCATGACATGTGACAGAGTGAAGATGTTTTAGCTTTGGCATTAACAGTGAGGTCATTCAGGAATCAGACAGCCTGAGGGGAGGAATGGTGAAGGGATCACAGCTGCGCCCTAGGGTCACGGCGCCATGGTGTCATGTCACCCTAGTGTCACATCACCCTAGTGTCACAGCGCCCTTGTGTCACAGCGCCCTAGTGTCACGAAATGATCACTGTGGAGAGAGTGAAAGGAAGGAAGCAGGAGCACTTGGACGGCGCTTTCAAAGCCTTGTTAAGACGCAGTGCTCCGCAGCCTGCGACTGTGTTTCCCCTAGACTTGGATCTGTCTCATCCTCCTCTCGCTCCAGAGCACACACCAGTGCTGCACACACCAGTGCTGCACACACCAGTGCTGCACACACCAGTGCTGCACACACCAGTGCTGCACACACCAGTGCTGCACACACCAGTGCTGCTCAGGCTTTCCCGTCCCCACTGCAGTGCTGTCTCAGTTAGGGTTCACTGCTGTGCAGAGACACCATGACCAAAGCAACTCTTGTAAAGAAAACGTTTACTCAGGACTAGCTTACAGCTTCAGAGGTTCGATCCATTATCATCATGGTGAGAAGCATGGCAGCACTCAGATGTAGCTCTGGAGAAGGAGCTGAGAGCTCTACAGCTTGATTCTTCTGCAGGCAGCCAGGAGGAGACTCGTCTGTACTGGGTGGGGCCTGAGCATAGGAGACCTCAAAGCCCACCCCCACCATGGCCCACTTCCTCCAACAAGGCCATACTTCCTAATAGTGCCACTCCCTGTGGGCCTAGCATTCAAAAACATGAGGCTAAGGGGGCCATACCTATTCAAACCACCACATAGGCCCAGATCCAGTTCCCAGTGCTAATCCCAGTGGAGCCCGGATGTGCGCTCCTGGGCCAAAGCAGTGGTGGAGGTCTAACATGCTGACTGCATGCTAGAGCTCCCTGCAGCAGAGCACAGTTGTGTGCTGCCCGTGAGCATGCTCAGTGGTGCCCTGTCTGTCAGTTCCAGAGAAGAGGAGAGAAGGCCTGTGGTGTCTCCCCAGAGTGTATTTATTCCAGGGGAGGGAGACAAGCAGTCAGAAGATAGTTTCTCATGGGGTAATTGCTGTTTACAGCCTGGTCAGGGCACTGTGACGGAGAACAATAGGACAGAGCTTCAAGCCTATAACGTCTCAGGGCTACAGCTTTCCTCAGGACTGGAGAGGATGCCGAGGGAATGTTTTCCTCTCTTAGAGAAAGCATTTCATTTGCTTGACTTTTCTTCTGCCTAACATCAGTTCATGGTCATTGGTAGGAAGCCTGTTTTACCTTCTCCTGGTGACATTTCCAAGGCTGCTCTTGGGTCTGTGTAGCAGGCCCTGTGATGGGCTCTGGAGTCTGCTCTTGGGTCTGTATAGCAGGCCCTGTGATGGGCTCTGGAGGCTGCTCTTGGGTCTGTGTAGCAGGCCCTGTGATGGGCTCTGGAGGCTGCTCTTGGGTCTGTGTAGCAGGCCCTGTGATGGGCTCTGAAGCATAGTCCACACAGTCAAGCACATCAGTGGTTTTGCAGTTATCTGTTTCTGTCACTTATGGGACAAAGTTGAGGGTCTGGCTTGTTGGCACACCAGAACCTAGGGTGTTGTGTTTTCTTACAGCACTCCGTGGCAGTCGACTTTGGCTTCAGGAACTCGGGCATCACCGTGGGCAAGCGGGGGAAGATCATGCTGGTAAGGTGCCATTGGCAAGAACCGCTCTGTAACCGCTGTCTTCTCTCCCTGCGCCCCAGCTCCCAAATAGTGACTCTGAGAATTATTCATGAATAATACTGCCTAGGGCATATGCTTGGGCTTGTTCCCGCTTGCTTATAATTCATTTATCCTGTTTAAGCTCCTCTATTTCTGCCATGTGACTGGTTACGCCTCCTCAGCTTCCTGTGTCCAACTTCCTAGAGTCCACGTGGTGAATCCTCCTGCCTGACTATCTCCCAGCATCCCTCTTTCTGTGTCCAGATGTCCCACCTTCTAAGCCTGCCTCAGCTTACTGGCCATCAGCTTTTTATTGACAGGTGATGCTTCCACACAGTACAGAGACTCTCTCGACACAGTTCTGTGAGTCTGACATGAACAGGATTTCTGGGACTGTCTGTTAGCATTCCTGCCCGTTCCGTCTTTCTCAGAATTCCTTACTGTTCTCCGGCCCCGGGGAAAGTGGGCAGCCCCTTCCCTAGATAGGAAATCCAGACTTTGGATTCCTACCTGTGTCCTTGTTTTATACCACACTCCCTGCTTACTTTGAACCTGACCCTTGCTCTACCAGCCTCAAGTCATCAGGGATGACGGAATAAGTAAGCTGTGCTGTGGAGTGAGCATCACAGGCATCAAGTCTTCCATAGCAATAACCTCTGCCCACAGCTGTGCTTCATGAACCTGTGTGAGCTCCGCAATGCTCGCATCTGTTGTCTCCTCAGAGCTCTCGCACACCGTTCTCCTTGAGCCAAGTCCAGTCCGTGGGGAGCAGCTCACTCTGCCTCTGATGAGTGAGTGCACACGGCTCCTTTTGTCTCACCGCATCAGCAGTAACAGACATACTGTGTGATCCGCAAACTCAAGGACGTTTGCTGTCTGTCCCTTCACAGAAAATATGTGCCAGCCTTTGTTCTAGATGGCCCCAAGGCCCTTACAGCCTATGTTCCTCTTGTCCTTCCCTAGCCAAGGCGACCCACAGTAATTTTGCCCAGTTCTGATCTCTGTGGTGTTTGCTGTTTGCACAGCCCATACTGTATTTGAACATGGTCAAATTCCTGCTGTTCTAGCTCCCTCCACTCTTTCCATTTTTCACAAAGAGCCTATTTCTCAAGTAGAGGCGGCTTGCAAAGAACTTAGAGCATGACTAAACAGTAAATCCAAGCCTGCGCTCCACAATGTATCTGGTGCCCGAGGAAATTTCACACATTTCTTTACCTTTCTCTCCATTTTCCCTGTTTCCAGTTAGTCACTGGTCTGATCATATCTGCCTCTGTGCCTTTGCCAGCCAGGCCCTGCACGCTGGCCCTGGTCCTGAGCCAGCACTCGGCATCCATCTTTTCTAAGATTGTCTTCTGATGGGCTTCTGAGAGGTCTCCTCCAGCCCTTCCAGTCTCTCTCTGACCAATATTGTCAGAATCTCTCCTTTAAAACACCAGGGTCTCCCAAGCTTTTCCCTGATATTCACAGCCTTAAACTGGCTTAAACTTGTGAGTGTGTGTGTGTGTGTGTGTATGTGTGTGTGTGTGTGTGTGTCTGCTGTCTGTCTGTCTGTGATGTTCCAGCCATGCAAATCTATTCTACTGCTGTTGCTGCTCTGACTAGAATCTCCACTGTTTTTATGTCTGATGAAATTGTCCTTGTCCCTGGAAATTCTACTCAAATGGAATCACTTTGATATGGAGCTGAGCCCCAGACTTCACCAGAGCATCTGTCATGTTATTAACATGTTTCACTTGTGAGTGTGTGTGTGTACACGTACAAGGATTCATGTGCTTCTTCTGTCTTAACACCCAGGCTACCCTGTGATTCTGTGCAGTTGTTTATTTGTAAGTGTGAGCTCTCAGAGGCAGGGACCAGGCTGTGCTCCTCTGGTTTAGCTCAGCTAACAGGAAGCTCAGTAAAGATCCACTACATGAGCTTCTGTTCTTCAGTGCGAGTGGGTTTTGTAGGGGTTTTGTCTTCTTTGCCTCTGTGCTTACCGTCTGCCCAGCTTTGGGATGCACAGGGATGTGCTGATGTTTCCTCCACAGTTGCTGAGATCAGCAGCCTCACAGCACTGAAGAGGTGGCTGGCCGTGCTGCACAGCGGAGGAGGCATGGCTTCCCGCTTGCCGTACTCAGCTCTGGCAGATGCTCAAAGAGACTCCCGTTTTTCCTTGAGGCCTCTTTTGATGTGTCATCTATTTATGTTCTTTAAGTCACGTCCGAAAGCTTTCTAAGCCATGGTGAGATTGAACTGTACAAGGTTATTAAGTTCTTTGATATTATTGTTTTTCTCTGAAAAAAGGATGTATAGACTGTCCTTGCAGAAGTCTGTCTTGTCTCCTTTTGTTGGTTTGAGTTTAGTAAATTACATGAAATCAAGGGCCTCCATGCTGAAATGGGAGTTAACTGTTGTAACCAAGCCCAGACTGGGGCTTGCCTCTCCTCTTCAGAGGCTCTGTGCTTCTGTTCTTCAGGTCTAAACCCCTATCTATTCCAGGCTGTCCGGAGTACACATGGATTGGAAGTCCCATTAACCCACAAGGGAAAGCTGATGGTGACAGAGGAATATATTGAGTTCCTATTAACTACAGCAAATCAGAAAATGGAGGAAAACAAGAGAAGAATTGGAAGGTACAGTTGACTATTTATTCCCGTGTTATTTGTATATGCCTACGTCATACTTGAAATAGGGACACATGTTCTTTTAAGTTTATAATCCAGACTGATTATGTAATCATAGCCCTCCTGTGGAGAAAAGAAAGGTGACTGAGGTCCTCAGTGGAACCAGAGCACAGTGAGATGGGCACTCCACGGTTGCAGAGGAGGCTTTGCAGAGACAGCTGGATGTGGCCACCAGCAACACTGCTAAAGAGAGAGTCCGACAGCAGTGGGGAGGTGGGAACAGCTTGTGAGTAGTAGTGCACACTGCCCTGGATGTTGTCTAGACTCTTCCTTCTGCTCTGAGAGTGTCTTAGACCCCAGGCTAGTTCAACAACCAGCTGCTGTCATGGAGAAAATCTGGAATTGCCTCCCTGGTCAACTGGGAAGGAGACTAGATTCCAATTTACATCTTTCTACTGTCGACCTCCAGTTGGACCTCCTGGCAAATGGATTAGCATATGACGCCGTTTAAAAGCTGCCTTCGGTGTGTGCAAGCTGTACCACTCAAGTCCCCTAGGCAAGCTGTGTCTCTGTGTGTGCGCGCACACATGTGTGTACATGACTGTGTGTGTGTGTGTGTGCATGACAGTGTGTGTGAGAGCTCATGAGTGGGTGAGTGTGTGAGTGGGTGTGCATGTGTGTTACATGAGTGTGTATGTGTACATGCATGTGCATGTGAGTGAGCGAAAGCACACTGTTGTAGCAGTCAAATGACAGCTTTGTGAATTACATGATTTTGAAGATGAAGCTCACACCATCAGGCTTGCGTGACAACTACTCACTGAGCCATCTCACTGTGGCTCACCAGCACGAGTCGTACATTTCCAAGTTACAGAGCGATGGACATTTTTACATAATTTTCCTTTTTCTTTCTCTGCACACTTTTGGAAATCTCACATTCCATCACTGCCTAAGTATCTCTCAGTCAGTCATTTATTTTTCTTTTCATCTTCATTGCCTCTCTCTTTATTCAAGACCTGTGCAGTAGCCCCTCAGGCTGGTCTCAGAGCAGGATGTAGACAGAATGTCTGTATGTCATGTAAGCAGATCTCTACATTGGTGTCAGAGTCATGTCCTGATACTGGAGAAGAGCCTGTGCCTTGCCTACCTGAACCCCTTACTACCTAGAGATGTCCAACTGCCAAGGTGCCAGTGACAGCAGTGGGACCAAGTCTCCACAGCAGCCTGGGTTCAACCTTGCCCCACCAAATCACTCAGTTCTGTTCTACCAAGTCACTGTTGTATTTTGATTGTGTCATCTGTAACTTGGGGGAAGTGCCACCTCAAAGAAGAGTTGCCCCCATCATTAAACAGCATGTACTTTATGATAGGCCTCAGCACCTGCTGTGGACCCAGAACAGGGAACCCTTCCTCCTTTGTCACTCCTAACTCCAAAGCCTAGAATACCTAGAGTTACAGAGGCCTCCCCAGGGAGCTGTGTGACCTGTACCAGACTGGGGCGTTGGGGGAGGGGGACTGCTGATTCCTTATGCACAGTTGTCATCTCAGCATGCAGAGCGCAGATCCTGGTTTAGGACAATTGATGATAAATCCTGCCACAAAATGCGGACAATCAAACCAAAGCAAAGCCTTCAGGTAGGCAGCTGGCACCTGCCTAGCTGCCCAGCAGACTGCAGACATGAACTGCACACGGACACTCACTGGCACAAAGCTTACTGTCTGCCAGGTAGATACTGGGCTGTGGGGGTGGGGTGGGGGTGCGACAACACAGGAAGCAGCAGTTCTGTTTCTCCTGTTTTCTGCCCTGAATTTCAACAAGTTTATAAATATAGCGCAAGATCAACTAACTCTACACCTGGCAAAGTTAATTGAGCCATGCTCACCAACCATAAAATCAAATTATGAGTTAAATCCATTGACTCAAAAATGTGTTTTGAGATGATAGTTTGCATGCCGCTATCAAGAGAGCAGGCTCATCATATAAAATCAGGGAAAAATTAAAGAAGGGCAAAAGTGTCTTAAGATCCTGATTACAAGAATACGTGTGGGTTCAGAGTGTGCGAGCAAATTAGGGCTCCTCGGGGAGCAGCCAGATGCAGGCACAGAACTCCTGATCCTGGGAGAGAAAAGTTTTTCAGCAGTGGGTGGGTACAAGAAGGGGCATATTTCATCATGGGGCCAGTTTCGTGGTTGATACAGCTAAAAGAATTGGGAAACTTCAGCCCAAAAAATAACACTTAATCAACCCCAAATATCTTAGCAGCATGACAAAGTTAAGAATTAAAGTACTTAAAAATATTTGTGTGTGTATGTGTTATATGTGCGCATATGTGTGTATGGGTATGATGTATGTGTGTATCGCATATGCACATGTGGATAAGTGTGCATATGTGTGAGTGTGACGTATGTGTGTCTGGTCAAGAAGCACATATGTGAGACTGGTATGTGTGTGTATGGTATATGTGCACACGTGTACAAGGTAATGTATGTGTATGATCTATGTGTATGATACCTGTAGACGAGTCCAGATGTGTGTATGTGGTGTGTGTGTGTGTGTGTGTGTGTGTGCGCAGTATCTGTACCTGTGTGCAAGTGTACATATGTATGTAAATGTAAAGTCCTGTGTCCTGCCCTGTCACTCTTTGTCTTATCCCCTTGAGACGGCAGGGCACCTCACTCAGCCTGGTGCCAGGATGATGTCAGAAGGTCCCAGCAGCCTTCCAGGCTCTGCAGCTCACAGGCCACTCATGGGCCTTTTACACAGTGCCGGGATCTGAAGTCAGGTCCTGATGGTTATCCAGCAGGCGCTGTTACTCACCGAGCCATCGCCTCTTACCCTAAAATGGTTTTAGCAAAGAAAAAGAACAAAGTCTTGTTCATGTTCGTGCTTGTGCAAAGTAGTTCCCATGCTTGTTTCTCTGCGGGAAGAGGCTCAACCAGCAGAGAGCTGACAGTGTCTGGAGCCAGGCAGGACAGTCCAGGGAGCATGGCCTGCTTTGTAAAGAGTGAATTTGGAGACTGGAAGAGACAGGGACTGACAGACACTGTAAGATATTTTATACATAACGACTTCCAGGTGGAAAACTCGAAGTTTGTAGGTCTGCCCCTGACTACAAGAGGAAGGATTTCTTTGTCTATTAACAGGAGGTTAGGATGTGCATCTGACAAAGCCATGTGGCCCTGAGTAGAAAGAAATTAACCATGCTCTTCTTTTCATCAACTGTGTAATAAAATATTAAATAAAACAGAATAAAGGGCTGAATATATTGGCATATAATATTGTTAAGAATAAAGAAATCAGAAAGGCAAAGTAATTGAATCTGTTTCCAGCGGTTTTTTTTTTTTTATCTTTTTTACTGTGGTAAAAATATAACAGAAATTTACCATTTTAGCCAATGGCATGAGTTCACATGATCAGTAACCATCACCATCCACCTCCAAAGCCTTCATCCTCTTGAACAGAAACTACATCCTCTGAGCACCAACCACTCTCTACCCTGCAGTCCTCAGAACAACCCATTCTCTCTGTGTGAACCAGACTCTCTAGCAAATGAGATTATGTGGGATTATGCCGTCTGTCCTGTTGTGTAGCTGCTGTCTCGGTGCACTCGTTGTGATGTGTTAGGAGGAGCTGAATGTCCAGAAGAAGGCAAGCAGCAGGCAGAGATGAAAACACAGTGCTCGACTAGACATGGCGTCTATGTGGCTGGCTTCACCTGTCAGTGCTGCTCTTAAAGACTTGAACACACAGTTTTACAGTGATGAAGGCAAAGAACGATGTAATCAGTTGCCTTTATAAGGTTAAAACACGACATTGTCACGCTTAAACAGTAGACCAGTTCAAGGTTTGTTTCAGTCATTCATTTTCAAAATACTCATACATGTAACCATATATTTAATTCTTTACAGGTTTTATAACTGCCTACAACATGTTGTCAAAAGAGAAACCATTTCAAACTCACATTCCAAGGGCAAAGAGAAAAATAACTCACTTTGTACTCGTAAGAATAAGAGGAACCAAGGAAAAGGACACGACCCGTCTACTACTGAAGACGATGGAAGGGAGCTGGAAGGTGGGGATGGCTTGGAAATCAGTGCCACACTCTTCCTGGGAGATGACTAAGACTCGGCACAGTATAGTGTCTGGTACACAGTGCTGCTCTTTACAAGAGCATCAAGGTTTGCTGAAAGCATCAAGCCTTCAGGAGGCAAGAATTAATTTCTCTGATTAGAGAAACTTAAGTGTAAATGGCTTTTCAAAGTAGCTGTGTGTATGTTTGCTCTCTGAAGACTGCTTTTTTAAGTATGTTGGGAGTCACTCTACAAATAAACGTAAAACTTCTTGTGTCTGTTTATGTCAAATAGGAAAAGCAAGAGTAATTCTCTTCCGAGGTAGCCTCAGCATCGTGAGAATTTGAGTGGGAACCATGGGCACAACCTCACCCCAACCCTGAGCTTTTCTTAAGGGGAATATCAGAGTTTGCATTTCTTGCCATGGACAAGTGTTTCCTCTTGCTTTGACCTTGTAGATGAAAGTAACCGATGCTCATGTCAGTATTTTGTTCAGGGAATACCCCATAAAACAGAACACTTGTGCTATGACAGCTCGAAGCCCTGGGCTTGAGTTCCAGCATCAGAAATCCTATAGCAAATCATTTTGTTTCATGGGTTTCCATTTCTTCTGCACAAATCCGAACACCTGCTGTGTTCGCCTTTGAGGGCTGACTGGGTCAGATCAAAAGTGCAAGCATTGACCAGCAGTAGTCTACTGCAGCATTACCGCTTTTGCTCATTGAAAGGGAATGTGACTTCATTGTCTTCAAATGTACCAATCATGAAGATGACATTGACAGCATCGGAGAGCATCCTGGGAGCACACAGCATCTCTAGCTTTGGCAGCAGGAGTTTGAGGCAACTCGTCACATTGCATCCATAGTCAGGGAGCCCAGGGGATGGTGCCGCCCACATTAGCATGGATCTTCTTGATTAAACCTCAGAAAACATAGACACCAGAGGTGTGTCTCCCTGGGTGATTCCTAATCTCATCAAACTGAGAAAATTAACTGTCACAGTCCAACGTTTGTCAGTCTAATGTCCAAGCACATTGCTTTTAAACTTTTATTAAGAGGTATTTTATTAGTTCTGGTTATATGTTTGTGTGTTTGAGTGTGGATATGAACACATGAGTACAGTCCCCCATGCAGGTCAGAGGTTTCAGACCTTGCCCCGGAGCAGGCAAGTGTGATCTGCTTAACACAAACCCATCTTTTGAGTCAGGTGATTCCAAATACTGGCAAGCTGGAAATGAAGGTTAACTGTAACTGCCATCTTTATTGTCTTTAAATAGGTAAGTGAAGTCAATCAGCTCAGCAGTTTAGAAACCGTTGGTAACAGACTTACTCCAGATAGCATGAGGAAAAACCACATGGGCAGAGGATGTAACTGGCCTGCACTATAGATTTCCTGTGTGTGTGCTGCATGAGCAGGCACCTCTGATACTGTCTATGATCAGGACAATGCTGGCGAAGGGCGTGGCAGGACGCTCTGGTGCTGTGTGGTGCTCTGTCGCCTGAGCCTTGCACAACTTGCACTCTGGAAGTTCTGCAGCCGCACATTATGTATAAGCATATATGACTTCACTGCCAGGTAGGGAACTGGGGCAGGGACAGGACACTTACAGTTTAAGAATGCCTTGGGCATGGCTTCTAAGTCACTGAATAAAATCTAAACCAGGCAAGCAGGCAGAAGGAGTGACATGTAAACAAAACCCTGGGCAGGGCCAGCATTGGAGGCACCCTGGGGAGGGCCAGCATTGGAGGCACCCTGGGCAGGGCCAGCACGGGAGGGAACCCTAGGGAGGGCTAGCTTGGGGAAGGGACCTGAGCTTCAGTAACCAGACTGGGTTTTAGCCTCTGAACTAGAAGGAATTTTCTACTTCTCCCAGCCATTCACTTCCCAGGTTGGAATCCACCATATTATACAAGTAACTGCTTAGTATTCTGAAAGAGAGAGAGAGAGAGGGAGGGAGGGAGAGACAGAGAGAATGAGAAGTCAGGTCTAGTGAGAAACAGGGAAGGAGGATGAGATGTGTTTTGTTTCTGAAATTCTTGGACCAGAGATCAACCAAGTTATGGCCAAGCAGCTATGTTTCATTTGGCTCCCAGGAAGTGCTTTTCCTAATTGGGTCAAGATTGTAAAGTACAGTGAGCTCACAGCTAGTGTAAAAATGCATCTCTAGGGGTTTTTTGTTTTGTTTGTTTATTCCCTTTAATTGCAAACCTTGATGGTAGGAGGCAAACATCCCACATGGCACTCAGCCAGCCACTCTAGCTGTAACATTTGAAAAGGGTCATCCAGTTCCCCTCAGACCCTCTCCACTGCTAGCTCTCTGACAGACACCTCATTAGTTGGTCCCTGTGGGTGTCAGTCTGTGGTGGCCAGCCCTGGACAGACACTGGAGAGAAATAAACATGTTACTGTGTTAGTATATCATAGGACAACAAGTTAAGGGTGGAGCCTGCTACAGTTCCTACGGATGACATTGCAAGATCAAAATGCCAAGCCTTTTGTGTAAGGATGTTTAGGAATTTGAAGACAGCTACCACCAAGAGTGAAATTAAGGGCGAGACATTTTTTTTTTGAGACAGAATTTCATATGTTTAGCACCATCTCTAGTTCATGCAGACATGGGCCACTACGCAGTGTATGTGCTAGGAGCCAATCAAACCCAAGGCTTTGGTATACACTAGGCCAGCACTGTACCAATCCAGCTACCTCTAGCACCATAGAGCAAGACACTTTTAATGTAGGGCTCTGTACCACTCACACACCCAGGAAGCCAGCTCTAGATAGTAAGTGGGTGCCTTGAATTACAGAGAACAGGTGTCTTGTGCCTAACACGACAATTCAACTGTCCTGTCCTCATTGGGAAAAAAAATGGGAAGACCTTCATTTCCAGCACTGGTTCCTGGAATAAATGTCAAGGAACTCTGAAAAATAACCACTGCCTCCCTCCCATGATGGAGGCCAAAAGTGACTTTAATCGAATTGGAGGTGGGGAAGTAGATCTAACCCTGCTATGTAAGAAATACAATAAAAATATGTTCCAGTTCCACCATGATGCTTTGCACATGTGGGTGTGCCTTAACAGGAATTCAAATAGATACAAATGTTAATCTGTTAAAACCCAGTAAAATAGTTTAATTTCCTAGAATTTTGTCTCTTCTGTTGTGGTAAGTATCACTTGAGGTTTGTATCCCACCTTAGATTATTTAATTTTCAAATGAAAGGCACAAAACCTTTATATTTATAATAATCCTTAAAGCTCTAGAGCTGGGCAGGTACCAACTCTCTGTGCTATTTTGTCAATAATCCCAAGATAGCACCTGCCATGTTTCACCTGGGCCACTCCTGCCCCAACTGGCCATACTTTCATGATCCACCTACCCCGTGGTGCCTTCTTCCTTTTCCTGACTCTCCTGTGCCAGGAAACTGAAGCCCCTGTGCCTCTCTTCTGCCCAGCTACAGGCTATAGGCATCTTTATTCAACCAATAGTTTTAAATTAAGGTGCAAAGTTTGCACAAAAGCTGGTATATGTGAGAATTCACTTGTGTTGAGGCAACTAGACCTTGAGATACAGCAATTAGCATTTCAATACATAGCAACAGATCAAACCTCAAGTATGTTCCATCTTATGAAGTGAGTCTGTGATTCATTCATTCATTCATTTATTCATTCCAATAGACTTTTTTTTTTCCAGCATTTCCAGTTATACAGAAAAACTGAACGTGCAAATGTGGCCCCTGAGTCCCAGCCTTCCCTTCCGGGCTGTGTGTCAGCCTCATTACTCCTGTCTCAGCCAATAAGCAGTGCTGTGAGCCTGTGCTTACCCAAAGCCTAGTTTAAGCAAGGCCTTGTAGCTCCTTGCCTCTGCTCTCTCCTCCTGGAGCCTGGATCCATCTATCAGCCAAGTTCTTTCTTCTTTGCAGGGTCTCTGCATCCCCTGGACCACACCTTCCCTTTATTTCCACTCGGCACCTTTCGCTAAACCATCCACCTCTTCAGCTGTGTCTAATCTGCTGGCCTCCTAAGATCTACACTGCAAAGACAATATTTGATAACTCAGGGACGATGCTAGGAATGCCTTTTCTCTATACTGACAACACTTTCCAGGAATCCCTGTTGATTTTGCTAACACAAACTTCACACATCTATGCATCACAGAAATGACTTCCTCTGTCATCCCAAGAAAAACTGTCACCACTACACAGCTTGTAAGTGAAAAGTAACATCTCTCTCAATGGCCAAATTTTTATCTTGATGTTTATGTCTATGAAATAACTACATATGTTTAATTATTAGTGTTTTCCTCCTGAGTCTTTATTGAGCAGCTACAATATAATCTATCAGAAAAGCACAGAATCCAGAAGCAGCTGATAAGTCTCAGTCAGAACAGGACACTGTCCCCTCCTACCCTCAGAGCCCTTTACTTTTAGTGAAATCATCGAAGACTGAGCTGAGCCTGAAAGACCACAGCTGTGATACCAGCACCAGCCAAGGCAGGAGATCACTCACATTCAAAGCCAGCCTGGTTTACACACTGAGTTTCAAGCCAACACACACAGCATAGGCAGTCTGTTTCAAGTTAAAAGAAAACCAAATCAAAAGAAAGGGCCTATGAACGCTTGCCCAAGATCCTGTTTAAGGTCTCTAAGAAGTCTTCCTTAGTTGCTTCAGAATGCTTTCTGTCCTTCCTGTCCCCACTCACTTCCTATCTTTACCAAGGCACAGAACTGTGCTTAGACTCTCAGCCACAAAAACTGACCAGTGTCTAGGTGGTTAGGGGTCACAGATGTGGCCCAGCACTGCCCTGGTACTGTGGACAGGCAGAAGGAGGAAGCACTGTTACTGTCACATTGTATCCCTGTTCTTCATAGTGATTGGTGGCCAACAAATACTTTGTTTTGATTTGTAAATTGTGTGTGTGTGTTTGTGTGTGTGTGTGATTATTCGAGACCATTATCTAGTTTACTGGTTACTATCTATAAACCGAGAGTAGTTTGATAATATGATTAATAAAATCATAGCCCTAGGCTAACAGACAAGCTACAGAGTCGCTTGATAGCTGCTTAGTATAATGTGGCCTTTGTCACTGATTGAACGTGCAATCTCCTGCACAACTGCATGTGTTTGAACCCTTGGTCCTCGGCTACCCAAATGTTGGCACTGAGGAGGACACAGACCTTCAGGTACTAGAACCATGGTGGAAGAAGTGGAGTCCTGTGTGGGGATGAGGCAGTTAGGGATTACAGCAGGCCCTGGTTCCCACCCAAGCCCTCTACCTCTTTG